CCAGGTGGATTAAACAAACAATGCATGCTATAAATCTGTTAACTTCCCGTTAATAATCATCCTGGCACTTAATTAAATACAATTTTCGCTGCACTACTGTGAAATCACCTTTTTTCATTATATATTTATTTATCTCCTGCTATAATTCATCATTACTTTGTTTACTACACAAGAAGAATGATTACTATCTTTTTTTGAATTTTACCGACCTAAACAAACAAACATTTGTTATGGTTTCATCAATTGTTTCAATTTGCAATAATGAAAACTGTACAATTGATGAAAATTTGAACTATAAATATAAGGCATAGGCTAAAAGATGCTATTATAGGTCAGCCGCTTTAGAAAGCGACCTGGGCATGCTAACCAATGCTAGACCAACCAACCGCTTTCTAAGCGACCGACCTATAGTTTTTAAATGTTCCTAACTGTAATCAATAAATATTCCAATGTCTATTTAAAATTTTAAAATAATTTGACTTTGTAGTGTAGCGAAAAGTAACATTCAAAACATAATAGGTAAGTTTGTCTTTACATGTTCTCGACCATTTAAAGTGCTTGATAAATCTTGCATTTCAAACATGGTCTCAAATATGTAATGACTCACATTCTACTCTTTGTTATGAAATATACTATTTCGCTACACTACTGTGAAATGACCTGTTTTTTTTTATACGTTTATCACGTGGGAATATTCATCTTTACATAGCTTACTACACAAAAAGAATGTTTAATAATGCTTACTAACTTTTTTTGATTTGCCGACATAAACAAACAAACATTTGTTATGGTTTCATCAACTGTTTCAATTTGCAACAACCAAAACTGTACAATAAATGCAAATTTGAACTATTAATAGAAGGCATAACAAAGGCATAACCCAAAAAATGCTATTAGTTTTTAAATGTTCCTAACTGTAATAATGATAATGGCCATGCCTATTTTAAATGTTAAAATAATTAGTTTTTGTAGTATAGCGAACCAAAAAGTAAACGTTGAAAACACAAGTGAAAGTGTTTTGTGTACCAAGAACAAATTTAAAGTACTCAATTTATAATGACTCACTTTCTACTCTTATTATAAAATACACTAATTTGAAAACAACCAATACTACACATCCCAAATTTTGTAAAAGTCACTCAGATGGAATGGAATTCCTCTTTATAAGCTTAGAGGATTTGATATCACTGCATGTTTCATTGTCTGTTACATTAAATACTCTGTTAAGTGCTCAAAATGGCATTTTTCTCTGTTGAATTGGAAATATATTTCAACATTTTTTGTTTGATTTAGTTTATTTTTTGTAACCTTGGTACATGAATGACTTTAATAATAGCAATATGAAACCAAATAACACTTAAATATGTTTTACAGTTTATTTATTTACAAAAAAAATTGTGTTGTTTGTTGTTTCTCACCAGTTAAATATCCTACACAGAGAAGTACCAAATTATTATGAGGTTTCTTGCTATCAGTTACTCTATTCAAAATACTGGTGTGTTTTTCACAGATTACCAAAAAAATACCCAATCACATGTTTACAAAATAGTATATTTAATCACTAGGACGTAAAGTGGCCTTTTCAATCCAAAGCGAGAGTTGAAAGACACTTTTGCCTGTGTGATGTTCTTTTTTTTTGTCATATTGCAACATTGTTTAACAAACTAAGTTAGAAAACAAAAATACTTCTTATGTAAACATAAACCCTCAAAACAACTTCTAACTGGTTTTCAATTTTGCTAATGCAAATAAGCAGCCGCGTTATAGTTTGGCCGCTTAGAAAACGACCTGCGCGCTAATGCTAAACCAATGCTGGAGGAGGTCGCTTTCTAAGGGGCCGACCTATAGTAAGTGATTCATTCGTTTCCTCTATTAAGATTATGTAGTGTACATTATACTCTCAATATGTCAAACTGCAGCAATAAGCTATATGAAATGAAATCAATCGATACATAATTTCGATACATGCGATTGCCTACAATCAAAGTTTACCACTAACTGAGTTTATAACAGCTGACTTTTACTTTCTAGGGACTAAAAAGGCTTTTTACTCCCTAGGAAGTAAAAGAGCTACTTTAGATCCGCAAAGTATGTATTAAAAACAAAAACGGCTGTTTTTGCTGCTGCATGACGAAAAACAATTTAAGATCAGATAACCAAACTTGTTTCAGTGCTAAAGGTTTGTTTGTCCTCCGTACTGGGGACAAGCCTGCGTACAGTCTGGGAAAGAATGGAATCACAGGGACAAAGTGTAAGAGCAAAACTTCAAACTTTGACTTCAGAATGGTCCGACACTACAATGCTATGATGCACATGTTGAAGGAGAGGAAATCAGATGAGAAAAAACATTTGGTGAAAAAAGAAATCACGCACATATTGAAGGAGAAGAAATCTGACGAGAAAAAACACTTAGTGAAAAAAGATATGCTGATAGACTAAAATACATTTTTTCATGCAGAATTTTTCACAAAGTATGTCTATTAAATCTGGGACAACATCTGTTTTGTTACAATAAAAAACCATTAATTTAATTGTTCTTGTAAGTTTAAATTATTTAAGAAAATTTACAGTACAGTCCACGAGAGTCTGCAGTTGAGGGAGGAGCCTATTTACCACGTGACTTCGAAGGAGGATCGTGTGCTGTTGCCAAATCTAATAATACCAGCTGATTTGAAATTTCTGTTTGGTATAATTTTATTAGCGTAAAAAATTAGTGAACGGGCGATGTTGCAACGTTGCGCTAGTCCAGTCTTGTTAATGGTTGCCACCAACTACAGGATCTCGTGGCCCCTAGTATAAATTTTCTATTCATAGGAAATAGGGTTTCTATAACAGCTCTCTGAACTCATTTAAGTATGTTTTATTAGAGTAAAAAAACTTACTACAATTGGTTTATGTAAATGATGTCTTCTTTTGAACCCAAACTCAAAGCTGATATCACCATCACTTATAACAGTAAACATCGTTTTGTAATTGTTAAAAATAAGCACCAAACATACGATAGTATATTTCGTACCTAGGGTCTCGACTTCGTCTCAAATTTAAAAACTATCTCGAGCCAGCAAAACCATTTCGGTCCATGGTACGAACGCTATTTTTCACCACACTATACTCTTTTAGCCTACTACTATTCACCTATTCACCACAATAATAATGCACACTAACAGTCAACACAACTACAACTTAAGGTTGTGTGAAGAAATAATTTGAGGTATCAGCAAAAATAATAATAAATCCTTGCTAGGCAGTGGCGACAATAAAACAAGTCTATTGCAATGCTATGGATACTGCATGTGTATTTACTGTAATATGCATTATTTTTTTAAGAAAATAAGCAAACAGCAGATTTTTGGCCCTAGGGATGTAAAAACCTGCTGGGCCCCAAAATGTCGATGACACCTGGCATGGGCAGCAGTAGGTTCCGGCCTCCAATAAACGTTTGTAAAACCGCTAAAAACATTATAGTGGAGTGAAAAAACATTTTACTGCCGTCTGTCAGAGTAAAACAACTATTGTTTATATTGTTTCGTGAACTGACAACTACAAGTTTGATTCCTTTTTTCATACTCCACTGGCTTTAAATTAAGTCAAAGTTAGATTAAACGCTTTTAAGGGAAAGCAGTCCAAACCCATTAAAGTTTTGTGGATGAAACTGGGAATTTAACCAGTCCCTCCTGCACCAAAGTCCGAGATGCTAACCACTAAGCTAGTATTATTATTATATTAACAAAAGTGGAATCGATTAGGATTAGATACACATTTGCTTAAGCAAATCTGAACACAAAAACTATAAGCTATGTGGTGATAAAAAAACTGATCATAAGTGACTGGGTGAAGATGGTTCCACGTTTCTAAAGACACGTTTCCACGACGTAGGAAGTAATGAAGGAAGTAGTCAAGGCAAGCTGTCCGGAGTGTGGGAACTGTTTATGACGATTAGATTGAGGTATCTGCAATCATAAAATGCTACGGAAAGGGAGGGAAACAGGTCTGCGGCGTAGGAAGTGGCAAAGGAAGTAGTAAAGGCGAGCAGTCCTCACCTTTTACTTCCTAACCAGGAGTTACTTCCTAAACTTTTTTTACTTCCTAAAGTAAAATTGCTACTTTAGACCCTTAACATATGCATTAAAAACGACTGGTATTACTGCAGTATGACCAAAACAATATAATATAAAACCTTGATGACTCCGCTCAATTTTGTGGATGCCTCTGCGAACGCCACCTAGTTACTTTGCAACTACAGTAGAACCCCTCATATCCGGCCACCACGGGACCAAGCCCCTGGCCGGATAACGATTTGGCCGGATAAACCAACCTACTATGAAAATGACAATTCATACCTAATAATAATAGGTAATCAATATATGCAATCAAAAGTATCATTTAATTGTGTTCTGGGATCATTTTTAGAAAAACAAACATGTCTGTAAAAAGGAAAAAAAAATATTTGTAGGTTAAAGTCATTACTGTAAGTAATGAATGTACAAATATTATGATTCCAGGTAACAAAACATATTAAATGGAGGTTAAAATGACAATAAATTGTACTTAAAGATCATTAGGACTTAAATGGTACTTGCATTTCTACTCAACATTCTTAACCATTTTGTGAAATACAAAAATTAATGTACTCGTACTGTACTGTACTAAATCCACTTTGGAAATAATCAGCCAACTGATCAGAGGTTAGGCCTACTAGCTCAACTCAGCAAATAAATGTATAAACAAACAGATAAATAATGAGAACAATTTATTTTATGACTTGAGCAGTCACAAAGACTAGTGCTTGTATCTAAACGTCTGTAAGGTGTGAGAAAAAAATTTTGATATTGGCTTCCTGGAAGGGGCCGGATAAACAGAGGACCGGTCAAACCAAGGCCGGATATGAGGGGTTCTACTGTAGCGAATTTCAATACAAAAAATTAAATAAATGAACTAATACTTGTTTAAACAACTTTTTACTATAACATTCAATAGTTTATTATAAGGTTCAAGACGGACAATTTAATTTACGACAAAAGATCGAATGCTAAGTACTAAGTAGATAGATTAATCTCATTTAGTCAAACATATTTCAAATGTGTTATGTTGACGTTACATTTATTTGATTTACATTTTTAGACGTATCATTTATTTGATGTCACACAGTAGAGCCACGCCTCTCAATATCCAATGTTCAGGTGTGAACTTGCACTGAAGCCAAAGAGGAGTGATGAACGTCAGGTCAGTGCGGTTTGGTTTTTTATACACAGGACACTGCAAAGAGAAAAAACATAAAACATAACATACTATAATTCACCAGTTTCTAACCATGTGAATAATATCTGTGGCAAAATGTACTGTGTCTAATGTTTGCAATCTGGAAAAAACTATTTGCTGAAAATTATGATGTTCAATTTAAGATAGCAATACTTCTGGTTGTGTAGACAAGTTTACTCCTTCTGTAATGCTTGTAAAAGGCTTTGTTCCCTTTGTAACTCGTATTGTCTGAATTTCAGCCCCTCAGTCAAGTGGTTGTCCCAACTTTAAGCTCCTGGAGCTGCATCTAACCTCATAGTTGTAAACTGGAAACAAAGCCCACTTCTTACAAAGTTTGCTGAAAGCCACTTATATTCTCAGGCCTGTGGTTTGCATGTGATGCGCTATAGGCTTGAGAGATGATTGCGCCCCTCTCCACTTACCTTGTGGAGGAATTTTTCCAATACTTGAGCCTCCAACTAACCTAAGCCCCTGAGGCCGGGCTCACCGGTCCATTTATCAAGCGGTCCTGCTTATGCTGTTGTGCAATTAATGTCTTAACTATTCATGATGTCTCAATGTTGCCATAGTTAGGCTGAGCAAGAATTCATACTGCACTAGCTAACAGGCAAGTTAGCAAAAATGTAAAACTTTACAAACACCAGAACTCATATTTCATGGTTATACAGGGTTTGTTGCTAGCCTAGTGGTTAGCGACTTGGACTCCGGCATACTCCAAAAATGTCATAGGTTTGAACTGCTTTCCCTCATAATCTATTGCTGATTCCATAATTTAAAATGCCATCGTGATAGACACAAAAAAATCAATTGCTTGGTTTCATCGAACAACAATAGTTTACCTGATACAGTTTAGGGTCCTTGGGAGCAGTGCTGTTGATGGCAAACAGATGCACCACAGGCATCATCACTGACAGGACCTTCGGCGAAGACTCTGTCAGTCGATTGTTCTTCTTATCCCACCCAGCTCCATCCAAGTACAGTCCGTATACATACACTCCTTCCTGTAGCATATCAAGTCAATCAATGCAAATTTAGTAATCATTCCTTTAGTCCTTAACAATTTAGTGAGTGCACATAATGAAGAGCAAATTAAAGAGAAATGACTATTTGTATTTTCTAACCACTTTTATTTATCTCAATCATAATGAAAAGAGGAAAGGAAGTGGTTTATCAATGTAGTATTATTGGATCTTCAGGATTATCAAGCTAATTCCACACAGGTTTTACGTTTACCTGCTCCTAAATTTCTTTTAGCCTTTGACTACGGATAGAATAGACAATCCGTTCCGTTGTTAAAGTTGTTACCAGTTTCAGACCAAAACATCAACAAAAAGTTAAGCCACTGACGTTGACGTAAATTACTGATTTGTCAAACACGCCAACTGAAAGAACAACTTGTACACTATGCATCTTTTATATCATATCTACTATCTCAGTAACAAAAACTACGGGGGAAGACATAGTTTTTTTTATTCCAGCACATTCTAAAACAGTTGGCTACAGCTGGTTCATTGTACACTCACTGGTGGAGGCTGCCTGATCTCCTCTTTGCTGTACTTTGTCACTTCGTTGTGTAAAGTGACAGAGTCCAGAGGCCACCCCTTGTGTGCCCTGGCTACCTCTTGTCTCATGGCCGTCAGGAACCCTGCAAAAAACTACCATCACTACCTTGCCCTCAAGTCTTTCTACACATGTAAAGTGACAGAGTCCAGAGGCCAACCTTTGTGTGCCCTGGCTACCTCTTGTCTCATGGCCGTCAGGAACCCTGCAAAAAACTACCATCACTACCTTGCCCTCAAGTCTTTCTACACATGTAAAGTGACAGAGTCCAGAGGCCAACCTTTGTGTGCCCTGGCTACCTCTTGTCTCATGGCCGTCAGGAACCCTGCAAAAAACTACCATCACTACCTTGCCCTCAAGTCTTTCTACACATGTAAAGTGACAGAGTCCAGAGGCCAACCTTTGTGTGCCCTGGCTACCTCTTGTCTCATGGCCGTCAGGAACCCTGCAAAAAACTACCATCACTACCTTGCCCTCAAGTCTTTCTACACATGTAAAGTGACAGAGTCCAGAGGCCAACCTTTGTGTGCCCTGGCTACCTCTTGTCTCATGGCCGTCAGGAACCCTGCAAAAAACTACCATCACTACCTTGCCCTCAAGTCTTTCTACTCATGTCGCTATAACCTTCTTGTTAGTTACGGCAGGTACTATTTAATTTCAAAACCGAAAGTCAGGGATACACGGCCCTTTCTCAAATTTAACAAACATTATATCAAAATGAAAATAAATTTATTCTACCGCACACGACCAGTCAGCCAATAGAAATAAGTGATAAAAATAGAATTTCACTCAAGCAAAGTGCATTTGCAGTATAATTTTTTTACTGCCACTTTTTAACACTGGGGCAAAAGTCAAACTTTTATGGAAAGCTACAAAACTGAAGTAAACTTCAAAATATTATATTAAAAAATACAATCCCTAGCATACTTGAGTGTTGAACTACTGTTTGATAACGTTTTAGTTTTTTTTTTTTTTTTTATTTATTTTAGCATGGTGATGTGTGCAATTTAAATTCCAGGAGCTTATGTAACGGGAGAAATGTATAATCTATCTACTTTCTTATAATAGGTCATATAGCAGGACCAAATAGCATTCTACTCTTGTCTTGTTAAGTTAAATAATTAACTAACCATAACCTCAACCCTTCCCTCCATAAAAACAACAAATACCACCTTCAAATTAAGTATCATACGGCACCATCTATAAAATTGGTGACTGTCGAAGTAGACATCCCAATTATTAGCTGTAACAAAACCATTTAATTTCTAAATGAAAATGAATATTGTTGAATTGTGCCACTGACAGTACTGATGGTGGCCAAGCCAAACTGAAACGACATTTTAAACTCTCATTTGTTAGGCTGTATTGACAATTGTAGTATGAAAAAAAAGAAACAAAGAATGTTCACAGTAATGCACTTTGTATGTGCACACATCTGTTCTATTCCGCCAATGATTGGGTACAGCTGATTCGTACACATGGGATGTCTACTTATCTAAAAGTCAATGATGAATCGAACCATTGTCTAACTTTTCACCTTGGGGGTTGAAGAAGCCAGTCATCCAGAACTGTGGAGGACGTTTGACAAACACCCAGTTGGAGAACTGAGTGTTGCGTTCCTGTAGCTCTGTGTACCAGAAGCCTAACGTTGACGAGGCCCAGGAGTCACGCTTCCAGCTGTCGGGCACTCTAGCGTCGTAAATACTGTCCAGAGCGTTTCGCAGTTGCTGCGGCAAACATTGTATGTTATGTAATTACATTTGTTTGAATTTTATTTATTTTAAAATGATTCACGCCACTGAGCTATAATGAATATCTGAAGGTAGCACTTCTTGGCGGGATTTTGTACCATTGACAGCCATTTTGTGGTTTCCCGGGATCAAATATACTGAAGTGGAAAAATATGGAATGCAGAATTAAGTGAGACCCAGATATTCTAAAAATTGATTCATTCATGTGGTTAAATGGTGGAGAGGTTAAGTGTTAGATAAAACTTGCGAGTCCTAACTTCATCCCTCAAATAAAAACTTTTTCATTTCATGCCAATGTGTAAATTTAAGAACAAACCTTTTGTTTCATTTAAAGTCAAACAAAACAGTGGGCTCAACTAAATTAATTTGTACAGAGCTGTAAGTAGGCAAAACGAAATAAAGTGTAATACTGTCTAGACTAGGACACTACCACCAACCCTACAAACCAACGGCACGTTTGAAGTAGTCAAACTCTAAACGTTGAAACAATATATTCCATGTAAGATTTTGATTTTTCCCTTACCTCATTCATGATTATAGTGCCTTCAATTGCCAGCAGCAGTTCTTTCAGAGTTTTTCTCACCACGGTAATAACTTTCTGCATCCAATCAATTTCTTGTCGCAAAAATATATTCAGAGAATTAAGAGCGTCCATTTTCTTTAGTCTGAAACCAGTATCGTTTAATGAAATCCAAATTGTTTAACTAATATCACAAGTGTTAAATTGAATCTTATTTAACTTGTATAGTTATATTTTCTTAGTGCAAAATACTACCATAGACTAACCAACACAAGTAGTAGACTTCCCATCCCATTGTAAATTTTGAAGCTCGTTTTTTGTGTCTTGTTCATTTTCGGTGACACTGTCTGTCTAGTGTCCACGAAAAATGTTGTTTATATTATTCTAGAATTAATTTCATGATTTGTGCTTTACTGTTTGGTTACAGCAGCACATTCCTGGCCTTGTGTGGATGTTTTATAAACTGCTTCAAATGGCTGTTTGGAGCCACAAAGTGAGTAATAATAAGGTCCGAAGTAATGAGGGTCTACTGGACCACATGAAGGAAACTAAGTAGTCATTAAATATTGGTACAGTCTCCAATAAAACCCTCAGCAAATACATTAATCGTACAGCAATCATTGTGTGACAGTTTTTCATTCCTCCTAACCTTTCTTTGACCTCAAACGGGTCATAGTCCTTGGGCAGCTTACTGAGCATCTCTTGTGCCAGCCTAGTCACAACACTCTCTCTAGACTCTCCCCCCTCTGCTCCACCCGACTCCTTCGGCTGTATAGACATGATGGTGTCCAACAGTGCTGTGGTGGTGTTGCTCTGGTACCTGGGGGTAGAAATACAAATTAGAATAATCATTTATCAATGAAGAGGCATAGTTGGTTTTAATAACTTATTTGTTTATCTGTCTGCCCACTTAGGGTTGAGGGGTAGACTACATACTATACGTTCACCGATCAGGACAAAGAGCTCCAATCTCCACGTCTGGCTTTGGCCTTACATTCCAAAATATTTGGTAATACAGTACTAGCAGTCCTAAACCATCAGAAACCTTGAAACGGTTTGTCCCCTACTTATAACTTACACTCTTTACTATTTTTCACTTAACCAAAGTTGAAATCATAAAGTCAGAATATCAATATACATCTACCTTCACAAAATAAACCATTAAGATATAGAAGTACGTTAAATGTACCTTGACTTACTTCATGAGTGTTACAAGGAAAATCAATTGAACCTGCGTGAGAATAAACAATAAACATTAAGGGTTGACCCAAATATTCCGGATTAAAAACTTCCAAATATGTGGGCAGGATTTTTTGGCACAGAACTTTATAGAGATGTCTGCTGATTGATTCCGACAATTGCCAATGACACCCGATGCCAACAACCAGACCTAACAATGAACCTCACCAATACAATGATGTTGGCAAACCAAACACCCTTACATATTAGTTCCAGGTCTCTCTCCTATTTTGTCTTCTAGTCCTAGGGGTGCCTACCAAATGTAAACTTCCAAGTACAGTCTTCGCCTGTGGTTGTTTTATTACGCTTGCATATACAGGTACAAGTGGATATTTTGTTATGTAATGCAGGACATGAAGGTTTGTGGAGGATTTTAATTTAGACTTGCTACTGCATTCCAACACATATTTGGATAACTAGATACATTTTCTACAAATATAACTCACGTTATGTCCGCATTGGGGTGAAGCCCGTAAGCTTGAGGGGGATCAGTTGGACTCATGTTATCGATAGCTTCCAAATACTCATTCAGATTCCTATACACCAATATTCCGTAGCCAGTGTTGAAGCGGTAGTCTTCTGCAAACATTGCCTCTGAGAACCACACTTTGGTGAATGTGTTGAGCAGTCTCTTGTCATAGTCATCCGTCACTCTTCCTCCGTACTGCACCTCTCCCAACATGTATCTGTAACATACAAAGTTACGGTAACTTATTAAGTAACATATTTGGTAACTTCCAATCTCAATAGCTCCAACACAAAAGACCACCCCAACTTACTGTTATAAGTTTAGGAAATAATCAGGATTTGTTTAGTTTTTGTTAGTTTTCAATTTTAAGCGCTATCAAGGATATAGTATTACATTGAAACCTGCCTATTCGGACCTGAATAGTTTGTATTATTAATTAAATGAAATTCTCATTTTGCAATATATTCTAAAACAATAACGAGGTTTTATCAATTACTTAAAACGTTAATAGCAAGTCTCTCATTGGCAATAATCAAATAAAACTTACTATCGAGGTAAAACCCTCAACCTACTGAAGAAAATGATTTACCAGCTATTTAATGCTTGTCCACTGTTGTATTGAGTTTTTTCAATGTGAGTTTTAATTTTTTTCAAAAGAACCTGACTACTGTTTTAAGTGGAACATGACAGTTCCAGAGGGGTATTATAAAACTAACAGTTGTATCTTCGTTCCTTGAGTCCCCTCTCAGACCAAGCAGGAGGTACTATGGTCTGAAGCCAGAAACTTCTTGTTTCGTATTAGTATTATTGAAAGAGAGATGGATATTATTTTTATCATAAACTATTATTTTTCCCCACCTGACAGTATTCCAACTTATTCCAATCTTGGGGTCGATGTCATCCAAGTGATTCTGTATAAACAATGTTGAAGCGTACCAGTCCGAGTAGTTGAACTCGTACGGTATGTTCCATCCGAGCGGTCCAAATTTGCGTCTTTCCTGTCATCCAAACATTTTTTATGACAATGAAAACAAATATCTGATAAAATTGTGAATTTATATTATGGTGACAGTATAACAAGTTGTTGATATTTTGGGTGTTACCAAAAGTTTTTGCTGCAATTGTTTTACTTTCTCCCCCTATACGGAGAAAGTATTGTATGATAATGATACAAAATTTTGAGTTCAAGTTTTGGATGGATGTATTGGTTTTGGTTTTGGTCCTCCCTGAACTCTAAAAAGTTGTTTTCGAAATGATGTCTGTGGATGTGTAAAGTGCAACAGACCACACCTGACGTCTGATTTTGACAACATTTTGATATGTGGGTCCATTACTTCAGGAATGTTTTCCATTTTAGTTTTTAATGGTGATTTTTCATAAAAACCCATTAAAAAGAAGAAAAAAATTATTTTCATAAAAACTGCCTGTTCAATGTTTTGATTGAAATGTAGGGTTTTATGGTCCAACTCTAATCTAAATTTTTAAAATCATAATATATGATAGTTACTCCGACATCTTATTCATGATAAATGTTGTTGACACACTATTAAGAGGAAGTATGTGTCATATTGCTGATACCGTTTATTTGTTTTTACCAAGAGCTTTTCATTTTGTAAAGAAAGGTTTTATGAAAAGTTGCTGTTTATTTGGTTTGTTATGTTTCCTGAACTTAGTGTTTCAAATTCTGTATTTGCAAGTACTCAAAGTATTTAAAATCTCCTAATGAAGTGGTCAAATTCATTTACTGGTTATCACTTGCTTCAGAGGGATGCGTTCATTGCGTTGAGGCATTTCAGTTAAAACAATGTTAACAAAACACTGCAAGGGCGTTATCCTACAACTGGCTACAATGTGTTTGAATGTCTGTACAATATTCAGTTTACCTGCACCACTGTGTGTAGGAAGGACAGAGCGTATATCATGGGCAGATACTGTTGAGCTCCACTGTAGTCCAAGAGATCCTGACTCATGTTGCCGTACGTCCGCAACAGGCCGGCTCTGATACCTGCAAATTAGCCATCTTGTTCTCTGCACCACTACAAAGTACTCTATGTACAGTTGTTCCAAGTTCCAAAACTGAGCATAACTCTATCATGTTAATGATCAATCATAGGTGCATGTATGATCAAATTCAAATATGATTTTTAAATACCTGAAGTACTGTGATCTTGTTTTTCCGTTTGAAAGGTCCTCACAAACATATATACAAACACAAATACACAGAAACAAAAACGAAAACGAAAACATCAAAGAAAAATTTTGTTAAATTACAAATATTGATAGCTAAAGTATTTGTTGTCTGAAGATGGAGAGACATTTATTGTCTCCCCCAAATATGCATTAAATCATAAAACGTACTTGTAATGTGTACAACAACAACAATGCCTTAGATCAATGGGCATCCTATAAATAAACCTGGCTAAAGTATTTAAATCCAATCTAAAACGAAACACAAAAATCTATATTTTACAAAGCTAAATCCTTTAAAGTCCTGCTTTGTTCATACTATTAAGGCTGAGCAATTCACCAGGAAGAGCTATCGCAGAGCAATCATTAACTATCAGATTTGCAGTTAAAGATTGATTGGTTGTTGGAGATTGATTACCTTGAGGCGGTTCATTGGTGAATTTGATCGATATCTGCAGTAGAGATATGGGGAACCTCAAGTGAGGCTCTGTGGTTATCCACACCCGGAAATCTGGGTGGACATTGTCTGCCTCGGCCAGTAACATGAACAGCTCACTCATGTAGTCAATGCCCAGATGACAGTTCTGCAGCAATACCCAGCCACCCTGGCAAACGAGACAAGTACTACAAACATCACTCTAGTAACAAAACAACTAAATGTTATAGACTACATAAATCTTATGCTGGCAATATAGTTTTGTGTTTGATAAAATTGAATCTTCCATTGTAAACTATTGGAACATTTTTGAACTTGATTAGACATTTGATATTGGAATTGTAAGTCCAGGGTAAACAGGCAAACTATCAATGATAGTGATATATTGTAATAGATAACACCAAGTACTTTCAAGGGAAAGCGGTCCAAGCCCTTCAAATCTTTGTGGATATGCAGAATGCCTATCTGTCACACTTAAGTCCGGGAACATACCCATCAAGTGTATACAATATTCTAAAGTTTCTATAGAATATAATAAAGTAGCTGTAACAAAAAGCAGAGGAAATGTCAACTATAAATGATCTACACTCTAGTATAGGTATCTGACTAAATTTGGTTTCACGTGTTAACCAATGTTGTTGTTTAAATAAATCAACAGTATTGGTTTTACCACTGTATTGAATTGCGTAAAATTAAACTCATATCAATATAATCCTCAATCTAATACGGGAGAATTCAATTTTGAGAGCATTCAAGTTAGTTGTTGGAGTGACACAAAAGCCTGATTAGGTGATCAGTAGATAGCTCTGTATCAGGTTGTCAGAAACAGTAGTTTAAATTTTATTTTTGACTCATTTCCCACTAAAGAGTTGTTTATTCATTCACTTAAAAATTTAAATAATCACAAGCCTATCCTTTAAACATTAAAACATTTCAACTTACATTTTCCTTAAAGTTGGCGACCAACTTCCTCGCGTGCACCTCCTGTCCTTGTCCCATGGAGATAGATTTGCACTCAAACTCGTGACGTTTAGCAGCGCTCTCTATCAGTGGTGTGGGGTCTGAGCCCATGCTGAGTAGCCCAATCATCGGAGTCAAAGGTCTCGACTCTGACCACAGCACGTCAATGTTGAGGATCACAGGCTCTGTGTACCGAGTGTCCATACTCGAGGCGACATATTTCTTAGACTGTGCCAGAGTTCTATCTTGGCACCAGGCTCTCACCATGAGCAGTCTTCTGAACGGGTCCAAAGCTTCATACCCATCGGGCATGGGTTCCTCTTCCGGTGCAGGCTTGTCAAACCAAACCTTCCAATACTTTTCACTCTGAGGTACTTGATTCAAGATAAACTTGAAATGTGGCAGGGTTGACAGCTGGACCAAATTGAGCCAAACAGAATCCGTTATCCATTTACACGGTTTGGCCGGACAAGCATTCAAGTCCAGTGCAGAACCTCCTTTGATAAAGTTCTGAAACTCTTCGTGCGTTATAGCTTTTCTCTGCAAGTCCACTTTCATAGTGAGCAACAGTGTGAACATGTACTTGTGACTTTCGTACAACCCTCGGCACTTGTATTTGAACACTTCATAAGTGAGGTAGTCTATTATGAAATTAATTCGCTTCTGAGCGACCAAACTTTTCTCGGACTTCGCCATCGAAATGTCAAACCTCTCTAGAAACTGGACTAGAGACGTTTGGTACATGCAGTTTACCATGGACATGTCTACAATGAGAAAGTAAAGGATGCTTCCACGAGTAGCTACAGGTCTGAATTCCTCTCGAGCTGTGTTGATTTTAGCTTCTGTTGCTGCGGCAATCTTCAGCTTCTCACGGACTGATGCAGCCGTTGTCTGAGTTACGTTCAATACTGCTATCACACTCTCATCATCCACTAGGGATCCTTGCACTGTCGTCAACTTGTACAGAAGATTAGTCTCTAATTCCTTCATCTTCCGTTTGTTAGCTGTAACGTCCTGAATCAACGAGGTCCTTTCAAACTCCAGTTCTTTCTTCTCTGTTAAAATCACCCGACCCAACAGCTGGTCCTCCAAGCCTTTCATTGTGACAGTAAAGTCAATTATGTTGGTTCTTGCAGATATCTCTGGGGAGTACGCGGGGTTTGCTAGCTTAGTAGTGATGTAGAGCCGGAAATCTTTATTAACATCCATTTCCTTGTCACCCACTTTGACTTTTAGAGCAGTTCCTACTTTGATGTAGTTTTTCTCTAGCACATTGTCAAGAGCAGGGTCTAATTCTTCAAGGACGTCCTCAATAAGCATAGGTCGTCCGAGAGACAGACAATCTTCAATATGGTTGCGGAAATATTTGTGATTTAGGGATGTCACCTAAAAAGAAGTAAATAATCAAATTTGAGCTTTTAAATATGAGAATCATTTATCTGGACCTAAAACGTCAATCCAATTTGTTTCAAGCAAGGATTAAAAAGAAAAACTACACCATGCACAAAATCTAAGAAACCAAGTCATATCATTTGTGTTAAAAGTCGAGTGGCTTAAGTGCTCGCCAACAAATTCAAAGGTTGATCCTGAAATTAATTCATCATCCTAGTTCAACCTAGAAATAGTTCAAGGGCTATTTCATGGTTAGTGAAGTACAGGTTATTGTTCGTTGGTAACAACCCCAACAGACAAAGTTAAATCAGACTTCAGATAATTTCCTTACAAAAAACAATATTACAAAGATAAAATAAAAAAAATGAACACAACACTCTAATTTATTAACAACACTGGTCTTCCAAAATAAACTATACAAATAATATGATATTATTATTCATGGGGTTTATGGGGATGGCATCATGCCATGTTGATTCGATTCTCAACTCTACAGATTCTTGCCATTGAAACAGAACTGAGAATCGATCTAGTTGATTCCAATTCTATTGATTTCAGCCATCTGTTATATTTTCTAAATAATTTACAGGCTATCGTCTACTATAGTACTGTAGTAGCTGCTCCTGCTGCTGGCTACTAAAGTACTGACCGCAATGCAGTCTTAGAGCTATGTAAAGAGTTTAAAGGTCAATAATACATCCGAAAGTATTTACATAATGTTCACTATACTTCACTGAGAATTCATCAAAGAAATTCTAACCTGCAAGTTGTTCTCCTTCTCCTTATTTTTGATCCACGCGATGCCTTGACTCTGGGGATCTATGAGCAGAGGGAACCTGGCTGCTTTGGTCACAATGATGCCGTTTTGTATAGACAGCTCATCACTCGGTAGCCCCTGAAGTTAGTAGACTGTTAGTCATCAATTTATTTTTGCATTGGGTAGTTATACAGCTAGTGGAGTAGTCAACTTATTGCCTATTTGGACTAGTTGATAGTTGAACAGTTACTTGATTTATAGCTCATCAAGTTTTTGCCCATCCTAGCTGGAGGGCAAGAGCAATGCGACCGACGCGACCAACGGTCGCTGCTTTTACTGACAAAAATGTGTGTCCACACTGAGCTGCGCGACAACTGCGACAAGGTGTCGCATCACCGATGTAGTGCTACCAAATACAAACATGTTTGTATCTCAAAGCGTTTGTAGCGTGACCGACAATCGTGATGCCGCTCTTGCTGCTCAGCTAGGACACTCCCTTTACCTACCATGTGTTTGTATCTGTCACTCTTGTCGCCCAGCTAGGACGGGGCCTAATGTGTAAAAAAAGTTATGGGCTAGAACCCCACAAATGAAAGTGGGGCAAAAAAACTACAAACGTCTGTGGCTCTGCTGTAAAAATGAATTAAGCTAAATACAAAATCAACATCAGCAACAACGACCCACAGAACTGAGGGAATCCTGTTGAGACATGAAAGACATTGATTTTCAGTTTAAACAGCTAGACTGGTCGATGTACCTGTAGGTTCCATTCCCCGATAGTCGGAGTGTCCACTAGGTTCTCAGTCAGATTCAGGTTGGGGGTCACAGGTATGCTGCGACTGACCAGTTGATTGTACCAGGTAGTGTTCAGCAATGTGCGGAACTCCTGGTTGAACGGACCAGTGTATGATAGGAAGCCGGTGAGTAACACGACATCTCCTACTAGACGATCAGTCTCCGCCTTGAACATCTGCGACTGCTCCGTCCACCTCACCTGCGGCATTCATGCATTACAGATTAATTTTTGGGGTCAATCTAGGATATGTCAAGATATTTTTATGCTAATCAAATCACAGTGCTGATTTATTAACTTTGCCTGTGTAAATAAATGATTTTTCATTTCATTTCATTTCATTTAGTAAGTCTACAAAGTCACGCCTTAAAGATTAACGCAGATTCCTTTGGGTAAATGCAAATGCAACAGTATATTTTGAAGTAAAGTGAATGAATATAATATAGACCCGGTGCTGTCGTACAAAAAATTATTTAAATTAAACAGATCTTGACTGAATCAGCCATTTATTTGGTTAAAAAAAAACATGCTTGTGTCTTTATTTATTTATTTATTATTTTTTTATATTTCAAAATATTAAAAATAATGATTTTAGGGAAAGCCAAGTGGTTGACTGAGATTTTTCATAGAGAGTTCAGCTTTATCTATCTTAACTGAAAAAATTAAGAGCCCAGGAATGGATAGGTAGGCTACACAATAAAATAAAACATCATTGATTTTCTTGTAATGTAAGACTTCTTCACAGAGTAAATTACCTTGTTTAAAATCAAGTTTCTCAGGGTTTCAAGACTAGTGTTTTTAAAGGTTTTGTAACTGTATCTACCAAAATGTTAATTAATTAACTTATTTGGAAGATAACATTTTGTCAAGTATCTATTAACTTGTTGGCAATCAGAATACCTTAATAATTAATTCATTTTAAAGTACCGGTATAAAATTTAGTGTTGTTGCTGCAAGTGTGTACCTAATTCATTTTAAATGATTAGATTCAGTATTATTTAGCGAACTCACCTGTTCTCCTGACAAACCGTTGATCAACGCAGAAGCTGCATCCATTTTTGACTTGACTTTATTGGCAACATCCAACACTTCCTATCAACAAATTCAACAAACTTAGATAGGGGCACTGTTTTGCACTAAAATTAATTGAAACACTAACAAAATAATAGTTTTCCAACAGAGTAGACTCATACAGCCAGAATCATCAATCTGTTCAACGAGCACAGTTATTTCAGTAATTATAAAGCACCTTTAGCAAATTAATGTTGTGTACAAACAATAACCAACCTGTTTTGAGGCCATGGCAGTGTCAAACAGTTTTTGTGCTGCTGAAAGTTCAGTTTCTTTGGCCGCAAGCATTTTCTCAGCTTCTGCCAACTCTTTGGACGCAATGTTGAACCTGTTTTGTTGTATTGCAAGGTTTGCCTGAAACAAAATACAGTTTGTATAGCAAAATTTTGATCCAATTACATTAATTTTTAATGTTTGCTGATGCTAAGTTAATGTTACTTGAGGGATTATTGCAAACATTTTACATCCGAGTTGTAAAAAATTTGTTGAAGGGTATAATATCAAAATACCTTTCCAAAATTAAATTTACACATAATATTAACTTTGTAGGAAGGCACATCAGATGCATCAGTAAAATGTAAAATGCTCCTGTTGTTTGATTCAGGACTTTAGGAGTCCGCCAATTACATTTCTGTCACCATAACTTTTGCCATTTGCTGAACAGACTCGTTACCTCAGTTTTACTTGAACCACTAGACATGCCAATTGTGCCAATACTTTCCTATTTGTGTAACATTGTGTTCCATTTCCATATTTTTATGCTCTTCTGACATTCAGGCTTTGGCTGGGTTTTGTACTAATATTGTTTGTTTTAGTTTTTAGGTACTTTCTCCAGGTCTGGAAACTATGTGAAAACTTGTTTTATCGTCAATTGTGGTAGAAAATATCCACAACGATCCCTCAACACAACCACAAGGACTAACCACAGTATACATGTAGACTTACAACAGGGCACATACTAATGCAGTTAATTGATAAAACTTTAAAGATTCTTTGCAATATTGATACAAGTTTCTAGTCGTATGTACCTTGAGAGGCAGAACATCTTTGTTGACATTGTAGAAGGACTTCATGGCAGTGGTCCACTGCAGTAGACCAGCTACATTGCCACAAGCCACTTTGGCATTATCGTACGTGTAGAGAGGATTGTCCAAGTAGGGCAACATCAAGTCAACCATTTCGCCAGTGATCTTGTCCTTCGGAAAGTTCTGAAGGTTCGACAGAAACCGAGTGTCCGCCATTACCTGGAAAAAAGAGTGTTATTGCCAGTTTGCTATGGTGACCCAGCTAGGTGTATTTTAATAAAAAATTAAAATACTGGACTTTGGAATAGATGTTTCTTTAACCAAAACCATTTATTAAAATCTCAATAATGGAGGGCTAGGTTAACTTTAAAAATGTCAAAAAGCTGCTGACTTTTCTCAGGATCAAACCAGCAACCTTTTGATTACAAGGCGAGCACTATAACCACTCAGCTACCCAGCCAGTCATGATTACTCAGCGTAGAAATGATTAGTCTTTTAAACACTAAACAACACGTTTTATGTTAGGTTAAATCCAAGCGTTGAATCAAATGGGAAACACTGCAACAGCTGATCGTAGTCATAATATCTTTAAGTGTTGCCAAAATATTTCCAAGCATACATGGATTCATGTATAATAATAGCTTGCTGTTTTGTGTTGTTTGGTTGGAATACTGGTGTACACAAAAAAAAATAAAAACTGTGCGGCAAAAGAAAACCATGCGACAAAAGTAAGTAAAGGCGGCAATTAGAAACTTTCTGTATTATAATCAGTGCAAGGAAGCCCGCTTTCTCAGGGGACTGTAGGAAAAATACTTTTAGTATCTCATAGTGGAATGAAAACTCAATTTTGCTAGCGTGCAATACCCTCTTTGTCAAAGTTTCCAATACTGCTACCCTACTACTAAACTTATATATACAATTTAAGTTACCTTCAACGACTCAGCCCAATTAGGGAACAGAAAGTTCTTCTCGGGATCGGGCCTAACTTGGTCGACTTTACGTTGAAACAGGATCAAAACAACATCCATGATTAGGGTGACGAGGTATGGCGGTTTGCCAAGTTTCCTCACAGTGGCAATGTCAGTTGACTTGATGGTCTGTGCAAAAAAAAACACATGAAAGTAAATTTTCTATATAAAAACGCTTGATCTAGAAACTAAGATATTTACACCATTCATTGTATATTATGTACAATATATGAATAGTATAGTATGGTTTGCTTTGGTTGAGTTCTATCAGCCACTTAAGTTTGTAACTCACCAGCAACGCGGCTTCAGCCTCCTCCAGAGCAGGTCTGGCAGCCTCTAGTTTCTCCTCGGCGACAGCCTTATCAGCTTCTATCTCCCTGACAATGGCCGTAGCTTTGTCCTTCACCTCTTCCACTTCTGCCTTCACTCTCTCAGCGGCTGTGGCCACTACTGTCACATCCGCCAACACCTACAAGGGACAACTGGACATGTTTAGTTGTTCTTTGTGCCTCCTTCACATTCTAGGACGTATGCTCTATCGGGAACCGTTTTGCACATAACTTCAGGCTAGGCATAGAGGATTGCGGCATTACCACTACGATAAAGTCCATTGGTAGTTGTCAGGATTTGAACTCGGGACCTCAGGCCTGAAGTCCCGCACTCTACCACAAGACCAGTATGCAGTTCATGCAGTTTGCTCGTGCATGAATATGGGCAACACTTTAACTATGTCAGCCACTGGACAGCATTCTTGAAAGTTTTTTTGTATTTGGGTCAAAAACTAGGCATAAAAACCTTTGACTATAGAAAGAACTAGAAATTCCATTTCCAAAGCTGTAGCCAGTAAAAAGTTGAACATACAGTTGAACTGAGCCATCAACAAGGTTGCTGATGTGAACTACTAATTTCTGTTGAAAATCCCAACTTTTTATCCATGCCAAACTTAAAACACAACTTCTTGTACAAAAAGCATCTTTTATGTCACATAAAATAGCTCAGTAACATTTAAACAAGATAATAGAATTTTAAAAAATAGCCATAATCTTATAACTCATTCAATTGTGCTCTTTTTTAAATAATGAATTTGGTTACAGCATAGATCCATATAGATAAGTCTACTTAATTATCCAAAAGTCAATGATCAATCCTACCGGTACTTCCATTTATGATTGCCCCTCACCTCTTCAGCTTTAGAAGTTGCGACTGCAATGTCCTTCTCCTTCTCAGCTAGATCCACACTCAGCTCTTCCACACTAATGGCTGCCTCCTTCAGCTTCTCAAGGCCGACATTCATCTGCTTTGCCATCACCTCAATGTCTGCCAGCCGCTGCTTGTATATGCCTTTGTACCCGTCGAGAAACGAGAGGAACGACTTGGGTGTCACAAACGACTGTCGCCGAAATCTTAACAAAATCAAAGCTTAAGAGTTGTGAACCGGCTTTTAAAAATATGGGTAAAGTAGACAGAAATCATAAGAATATTTTAATATTTTTTTTACTTTTGAAAAAAAAAAATGAAAATGAAAAATCTTTTATGTTAAATTATGAAATTTTACTTCACATTTACACAAAAAATTAAAACTTTACCTAATAGTAAATCCACAAAAACATGTTATGTAACTTAAATTTGTTTGACTGTCTGGTTGTCAAATCTGGAATGAAATTGCATTAAAATATATTTTATAAATACACATACTGTACACAACATATGTTGGAGGGACTACCCATAGCTGGCTTGACAGGCCAAGACGCTATCACTGACCTACTATGTTCCGTGTAAGAATCAATAACCAGTGTTGGGGAAGCTACTTTTAAAATGTAGCTAGCTACAACTACTGCTACATTTCCAAAAAAGTAGCTTAGCTACAGCTACAGTTACAGTTCCGCAAAAGTAGCTAGCTACAACTACAGCTACATTGAAATGTAGCTACAGCTACAATTTTAGCTACTTTTCCGAAGACGTTACTTTTTATTCCACGCACATTAGGTAAATGTAAAATTAATTGCAACTACATTTTTACTGAACAAACATTTAAAAAATGTCAGTATTGTATCTAACATTAATTGGAAAACAAATTATTCCTAGATTGTATTTAATTTTTTGGCATTATAAACCTAACATTACAACAACAGAACCAAATAGTTCGGTGTCCCATCATATTTAGTACTTATTTTTAAATATTGCATTATTTTTATGCATCTTAAATGTAAATTTCATTAAGTTCAAAGGACATACAACCAAACTATATTTTAAAAGCTCATTTTATTTCTTTAATATAGATTCATTTATAGATGTCTTATATCAAAAATTAAGACCAATAAAACTGTAAAACGATTATTTAAAAATACTTTTTTGTGTTACAGAGCCTAGCCTACTGAAATTGGAGTTTATTGCCTTTCTTTTAATGTTAAAAACGACATTGCTATAAACTTTTAAGTGATAAGTTACTTGTACTATGAATAACACTTTTCAATGTCAAGAAATCGTCCTTTATTGTCATTATGCATAGGGCAAATTATGCTTCAACCTAGTTTGGTACAGAAAACAGTATCCAGTAACTTATCCTGAAATCGGCTTTTAATTTAAACATGTTGAAATTTGTAAAGTAAAAATAACATGTAGGCCTACTTGGCTATGTAACAAGTTGGCTATAGTAGGCTTGTTCTTGCTAGGACTAAACAGATAGGATTCCTAATAATTGAACTTGGAACTTAGTATTCGTCTTAAGGTTTAAAGTGTTGGTTTCCATTAAAATCCAAGTTGAAACACTATCGGTATAATAAACAAACTAAATTGATTACTAATTTCCCTGTCAATCACTTGCAAGCATTCAATAGCTTCTCTTGTCACCGGTAACGTCTAAACGTCGTCTGCATTAAGCGATTTGATTTTATCTGACAGTAATCATAGAATAGTAAATTAAGGAAATGAGAGCCAAAAATGTGGATAACACTCATTTAATGGCCTCCATGTCCACACAACGTTGTAATAGAATAGGGAATGAAACGGCTGCAACCAGCTGTATGAAGCCAAGAAAGTAAGGCCTAATTTTTTTTTAAATCTCAGTTTGAAAGAGGTTGTTTCACGTAGTTAAGGTTGAGGTTATGATAAAAATCTATATCTCAAACAATGTTAATGTAGCGAGAAAAGTAGCTAAAATTCCGCTACAACTACTTTAAAAATGTAGCTAGCTACAGCTAAAGCTACAAAATCTTAAAAGTAGCGTAGCTACAGCTAACGCTACAAAAAAAGTAGCGCGCTACTGTAGCGTCGCTACTTGTAGCGCGCTACTTCCCAACACTGTCAATAACCATACTCAGATTACAGGGTATTCAACCTTACCAGACATAATCCTCCTTACTTGTTGTAATACTGGACGCAAGTGTCAGCCACAATGTCCTGAACTTCGGCCATGACGTCAATAAGTGAATCCTTAACACTGGGTGAGCTGACAATGGCGAAGTTCTTGAGGAAGTGACTCGACACAGCTATTAACGCGTCTTTGGGCCATCGCGAGAACCAGTCCATCGTACAGCCTGAGATCAATCCAGGGAACTTCATTGATCTGGAGCGGAATTTCTCACCAACCTACAAACAAGGAACAATTATGTAACCAGTAACTGCTAGTTCAATCTTATGTATTTGAAAACTCTACAGGAGCTTTCAGGAGCGTTAAATACTTATAACATTTTTGGTCAACATGGCTTTGAGCAAGGGTTTTTAAGAATTTTGTTATAGATAGGTTTAACAGCAGGCTTACCTTACTCAAAAAATATGGAATTCGCAAATAAACACATAACACAGAATTTGGGGAGCTACTAGCTGACTTCTTCAGTAGTAGAGTCTTTCTATGTTCTTGTAGGTTGTGGAAGGAGCTAGTAAGTATATAACTAGCATAAGTAAGTAGGCCTACTAGATGTATAACTAGTATATATAAGTACACAACTCCTTCCACAGCCTACAAGAACAAAGACCTTACTAAGAAGGAGATTGAGGTTCCAAAAATTCTATGAGTCATGTGCATTATTCTAATTTTTGTTTGTCAGTAAGGTAAGCCTGCTGTTGAACCCATTAAAATTCCTAATGAAATACAGTGATTTTATATCCTTTCTCTTAAAAAGTAATCTGTTGCTAAGCTTATGTATTAATACTTTTGATGAGCACTTAGACCTAACTAACACACACACACTCAAATAAATAAGATTACTTATGTTTTAAAAATAAATATATATTTTGTGTGCTCACCGGTGAAAAACACAATACGATGTGGAGATTATTTCGAGCAGATGAAATAAAGAAGTCGTAAAGATTGTCTCGTGTTGGTGGCCTTTTTGGTTGCTTCCTCTTCATTACTGGCACTAACTCATTGGTGATTTCATCCAGTTCATCTTTTGCAAATAGATTGGCCACCTGAAAACATTACAATATACATGTATTGACCAAGGATTATAATGTCCAATTAGTCCAATTATAAAAATAGTGTAAATAGTAGTGTACTATTAATGTATTTATTTTTGTACAACATTTTTTCCACTATTCATTTTTTTACTTATAAACTATTAATATAGTGAATGAAATTAAAAGTGGCCTAATCAAGTTTAGGAAGGACTATTGGTAAAGTGCAAGAATTAATAAAAATTTTTGTTAGTAACATTTCCCCGCACAACATTGTACTCATGGGTTTGATGTTGCACTACAAATTAATTATTGACTTAATAATCGTTTTTTGAATGAAGTGTTGTTTTTAACTTATGAAAGAATTCCCTAGATTTAGATGTTTTAATGTAAAAATTATTAAGAGAATCTGGTTTACAAAATAAACACTCTCATTTCAGGAAAAGTTCAAAATATCGAGGAATTAATCAATATACGATTATTGACTATTGGATACTGAAGCTACTACTAAAATATAGTTACCTACCATGAAGGACATCCATATTAATCTACATCTAAAATCTATAGGGTCCAAATGTCCCAAATACAAAATTGAATACTGAAAAATGAAAATGTCCTTTTTATAAGGTTTTGCTGCTTAACCTTACTGAGCTACATAACCTTACTGAGCTACATAATATTTCTAATTTAAATTTCTGTTAAAAAATCTAGTTCTGTAAAGATAATTAACTCAATGTGGCAAAAAGATTTTAATTAAAATCAACAATGAGATTCAATTTGAAGAATTACAGATGAGTTTGAGTTTACACTATCAAAGCTATTTTGGAACTCACTTCTCCAGCGCTCAGGACGTTATTTAGGAACTCTAGGAACGCTTCTTCCTTGACATCATTGTCTGTGAATAAGAAAGTAATTCCTTTCCCTTGAACTCCGGATACTTGATAGAGGAATTTCAAGTCATCCATAAAATTCCCGACATTATAGGATCTAAAATTATCAATTCAAGAATAATTGATTGAACAGTGAAAAACCAATAGTTCTTTAATAGGGTTAGATAAGGTTGAGTAATTCAACTACACACACATTTTGATCACAAAGCTGTGAACAAAGTCATTTTAGTAGCAGCAGTAGTATAAGTATTCTTTCATTTTCCTATATAGTAGTACTCTCTTGACAGTAAAAGTTTTGCAGTTGAAGTGCTAGGAGAAAATGTTTTATTTCTGATCTCAAATAACAAAATAAGTAAGTTTTTCCACAATGAATAGGTACAACCTTCTTATACAGAGCTAATATCTAAACAGTTGGCTGTGAAGTTTGGGTGAAAAACAGGTTGTAGGATGTTTATAGCATAACTCCATGCGTAATTGACAGGAATAAATTAGTCAATCCTACAGCCAACCTTTTGAAAGATAACTCCTTAATTATTCACCACGATCCTTCCTCCCTTCCCTTAAACAATATTGTCACAGAACAATGTGCAAACAAAGCAAAAAAAAATTTAAATTTAAAATTATACACATTTTTTTTGTTTTCCTATACATTTTTTTACCTCCCGTGTAATTAACCTTTTCGCAACTCGAGTCTACGCCCTGCCTATGTAGACTTTTTCCTTTGTTATAGAAGGTATTTTTATTTTTTTACACTTTTGTTCGCTTTATTTCTACAGAATATAATTTTTGTTTTGTTATCTAGTTAGTAATGTTTGCTGTATTATATTTAAGTAAAAGAAAAACAAAAAATACAATGTACTTATATGTATATAATTTATGGGAAATAAAATATTATTTCTTTCATTCATTCATTCTTGTACAGCTGTTACACAAAAAAAATACAGCATCAGCATTTGCTTGGAAAGTCTGAAAAAAAATTAATTCAAAACTTCTAAATAATAACCGTTTAGAAAAAGAGCTCTTAGAACCTGAAATGGTGTTTCGTGCACTGCACCCCCCCCCCAAATCAAATCCTGACCAAACCAAACTTACTCATACATATTTAGTCATTACCTGGTCAGTGTTATCTGGTGTGTCTGATAGTTGGCTATGAAAGACGCCAGTCTTGTGAGACTCTGTTTGCCTGAGCCGCCCACCCCGACCAGCATGGCGTTGCCCCGAGCCGTCCTGATGATCCTGGATATCTTCATCAGGTGAATCATCGCGTCCTTGAAGAACACAAGGTCCATGGCCATTCCTCGCACACATTCGTTGTACTGCACCATGTACGTCAGCAGCTTCTCTCTCAGCGACTCCCAACTGTCAATAGAATGGAGTTGTTAGTGGTTTCACAAACCTTTTAGTATATAAAAATTAAATTGTCTTAACTCCAATCATCTATATTGCCTATCATCCCAATCACCTGAAAATGGTGGTGATTTTAGTTTTTAGCAGTTATTGGTAATCCGTTATTTTAATGTGTGCCAATTGTATCCATCATAGACATGTCTATTGTATTGTGTATTGATTGGCCTCTAGTCGTCCGCCTACCGCACCTATCTTAATTTCCATTAGTCATGAAAATCCATTCATCCAGATTTTTGAGTATCCTGGTGGGGTTTGGTATTAATTGATTCGAACATTAAATATAGGGTTCATTCAATAAGTATCAGGACCGGTTCACTGTAACCTCAAAAGAGCAGTGGAGGTTACAGCCATTGGAGCAGTGGTCCAACCATTTTTACTGAGTTTTCCAAGCTTTAAGCAAAACTTCACAGCCTTGCTTGACGGTACGCTCCATGTTGGCGTGACGACACAATGAAAAAAAAACTCGGCGCCAATATCGACCTCCTGTCTAAACGAATGCCTGTAGGCGACTAAACCAAAGAGCTCCTGAATGGTGCAGGAAACCTCTATCGAACCCAACTGGTTGGACCCCTCTCCACTGCTCTTTTGAGGCTACAGTGAACCAGTCCCAATACTCATCGAATGGAGGGTGTATATTATGTTTACAATTGAATCAATGTTAAGTTAAAATTAAGTAAATACAATTATTGGAGTTATGTACTAGACAAAATATGAGCAAAATGGTTTACGAACTAAGAATAATTATGATGTCAGGAACCTATTTTAATCTCACCAAAAATCATTTTAGAGAATTAGGCAAATCTTTACCTCGGTATTTCTTCATATATCTTGGGAGCTTCCAAGACAAAGTCATCAGGTTCATCACCAGTAGGCTCGGGAATGTCTCTCAGAAAATCGACAAAATATGTTTCACTATCATCAAACAGGTGAGCATCTTCCCCAAGGTAAGCAACAGTCGTGTTCAGGAGGTTGTTTGAAAACCATTTTGTGTCCGCTTCATTTGTAAACCTATGAAAAAAAAACTATAAACATATTAAGAGTTCAAATTTGTACTAAACTATTGTTCTAAGTTTGAAGGGTGGTTATAATATTTGAATGTTGAAAGTTAAACTTTTTAAATTTCAGAATATTAGTTCTACTGAAATAATTTCCAATGAGAGTACATCTTTTAAGAACAAACATAATTAGCACCCTTCAAAATATAAACACTGGTTGAGATTTAACTACACAGTGCGTTTTAGCCAACAAATTTTTTAGACAACAAGAGATGCAGAGCTTTAGGGATTGATATCTAAATGAGAAGAAGATATTAATCCTGGGTATGTAGATTTTATTTGTGAACAAATACAGTTAATTTTGTCCAGCCGTCTTTTGGATGGAAAGAGACAGACACCTCATATAAGTAGGCCTACTAAAATATAGCGAAAATCACCTTTTCATTCACTCATCAACAGTTTATACAACTGACCTGTCCGCAATAACTCTGTAGCACTCGTGTCGCCACAACTTGAGAAGCATCGTAGCGTTGGGACACTCAGCCTCCTGTATTTTCAATATTCCCTCCCATATGCGGGAGAGATCCCTGAGGTTGAAGATGTAATGGAACTTCGCTGGAGTCGGTAACATCTTCACCTTCGTCTGTTGCCAGACCATACGGGTGAGTGGTACAAGGCGAGGCAGGAACTCTACGATCTCCTCTTGGAAACGGGTCAGACAAAAGTAGCCCTCGCCAATCACACCTGTACACAGACACTAGCTTACTTTTTTATTTTCCAACTTAATATGAACATAAACCATGTACTCTTGCCACTATAAGTATTGACTGAAGAAAATTATTAGGAAATAAAATTGTAACTAGGTATCTTTTGTTCATTGAATAGTAAATAAAATAAATATAAATAATAATAAATATAACAAAATATATTAAAAAATATAGATAGCACTGCTATCTGGTGTATTCACCTTCTTGTAAAATTGTACAGTAGGCTACAAGATTACATATATTTCAGCATCTTGGATGACAAATTAATTGTATTACATATATAGGTATATAAGTAATATCACCAACACATACAATGTGAATCAGAAAGTTATTCAAATGATGGAAATTTACAATATAGCACCAACCATACATCCATACATAACAAAGAGTATGTCGAGAAATATGTTGAATTGGTTCAGCATATTTCATGTTACCTAATCAAATTACTTAGTTGCATAGTAGGCCTACATAAATACAGAAAAAGACCAACAACCAGTTTTTGGTTTGTTGTTAATGAATATAATCAGTGTTGTTGTATAAAAAAATAGATGAAAACCAATTAATTTGATAATAGGCCATAAATGTGTAAGAATCTCGTGAGACATTCATTTTGGAGGAGACAAATTCACAATGATCTTTTGAAACTGCTATCATTAAAAAGCCTTTTAATAAAACTCACTGAATATCTTATCCATGGACTTGTCCGAGGGCAAAGTACAGTTGAAGATGCAAAACTGGCGCTTCAGTCGAGGAGGGATGTCGTTTCTCCCACCCCCAGGGTGAATCATGGCTGCCAACAGCTGTGGGAAACATAAATAACATTATAATAACAACAATTAGGACAAACTAAATCCAAACCCTCCCAAAAAAATCCCCAAAAATTCCCTGTTTTTTTATAGTGGATGGTGTTTTTAACCCAGGGATAGTTTTCCTCACCTGAGACCTGTTCTTTACTTTGTCCCCTATACATAGTATATAGAGAATGTATTATTTTTGTCAACATTTTCGAGTTTGAGTTTTGGATGGATATATATCCGTTTTGTTTGGGTCCCCCTGAACATTTGTTGCATTATTCTAAAATTTTGATTTGTTATAATGGTGGTTTTCCCATAAAAACCCATAAAATAGAGGGAAAAAGGAATTTTTACAAAAACGGCTGGAACAATTTTGATTAATATTTAGAATTTTATAGTCCTATTGACCCTAACAAAACAGTACAACCTCCATTGCTGTAAAAATTACGGTTTAAAAGTTATTGTAACTTTTGGGATTTTCCCATATAAAAACCCATAAATTAACATAACAATCAGACTTTTGTAAAAAAAAGCTTGAATCATTTTGATTAAGGGTTAGTATGTTATGGTCCTTATTATACTAAACAGAATGGTACAACCCCTATTGCTGTAAAAATTACAGGTCAAAATTTATTGGACTTATGTTCATGATATCAAGGGTTGTTGGCAAGCTAATGGGAGAAAGTATGTGTACTGATGCCGTTTATTTCTAGATAGATGGACACAAAACTAAAGTTTGGTTTCAAACCCGTTATGCCATTATCACCAACTAAAAGATATTATTAGTGATACTGTAATGAGATTTGAAACCAGAGATTTTCTGAAGAGAGGTTTGTCACTTCTACCATTAGAATACTAGGTAAAAATATTATATCAACTTGAACAACTCCGTTCAGTTTCATGTTGTGCAACATGAACTGTCAGAACGTTCTTTCCTCCTACCTGTGTGTCAATTCTTTCAATGATCATATAAATTTTGTAAAACTATCTCTTGCCACGTAAAATTGTTACAAACAGAGATTTACAAATATCTACTGCTTTATTCACACTAAAGATAATGGAGACCTACAAAATAGACACTAAAACCATGATTTTAGCTTAATAAATTACTATACTGATCTATACCAACTATACTAAGTAACAACAAAAAAACTAATTGGTCTATTCTGCAAGGGAATATTCCTCCATAGAGATCTTATTTAAAACAGGTCACTCGATACCTTAAAATACATTAATAATTTCATAGCCAACAAATCATCGAAGATCACCTGAATGTCTTTGATGGTAAGGAACTCGCCGGGTTTGTCTAGAGAGTAGAAGCCAACCATCTCCATCATCTGCCGGACAATCTCATTGGTCACCTGGTCCCCCCATTCGTTCACCACTGGCATGTTGATGTCGTCAATGAACACCGTCATCTTACGGTTGTTGGGAGGGCCGTAAGTGGAGCCCACTCGCTTCTCTACGTAGCTCTCAACAATCCTCTGGAAAAAGGGTGAAAATTTTTATTTTTTACATTTTTGTAAGAGAAGTTGTAAAATTCAATTTTACAAACACACTTTACTAATAGTTACTCAGGACCATGAATGAGAGGAGTTTCTCATCCAAGAGAACATGCTATGACTTCAGTATTTCACTGACTGGTTTCCTTTTTAACAAATTCGTTCACATATTGAATAAGCTTGTATATACTGGTGAGCTGAAACATCCCTCCCTTGCTACTGTAAAAGTAGGCTTACTAAAAAACTACAATAATAAAACAAGTTTTTTTTAGTTAATTTTTTTTTTTGAGCCCTCTGAATGTTCTGACTGTTTTGAATGGGGAGACACGTCAATCACAAAGATATGTCAATCAGATGTGCTTTCATAACTTAACAATGATTAAACATTTTCAGCTCCTCTTTGTTATTGCCTCTAACCCTATCTCTATGTTTGTGTAAAACATATGTTTATTGATCCTTGTAGAGAGAATACCTGAAACATGTTTGGAGTTGTAGCAGAGGAAAAGTTGAGACTTTTACTGAGTTGAACTTCCGGGTCATATCCAGCCATGTAACTCTTTATCATAACAGTTTTCGCTGTACCTTGTTCACCTAGACACAAATAATGTTTGTATGGGTTATTCTGAAAAAGTGAAACAATCAATGATTTTCAAATGAGTTAAACCACGTGATCTTTGTCATGCAATAATGTTGTAATAACCTATTGGTTGTAGCAATAATCTGCACAGATTTAAGGTTAAGGCATTTTAGTAACTTTAGTAAGCACACCATTTTTTTTCAATTGAAAAATTTAATGTGTAATTGGATTTTTATTAAATATTTATTTGTTGTAAGTGTAAGCCTAAATTAAATTGACTATGGAGGAAATATTGTTAGAAATTTACAACTTGTGTTGTATATTAATATACCTATAATATATTCTTGCATTTAAGCAAGAAGACGCAAGAAAATTATGTAACTACTTTTTATAAACTCAAGTATGTAACATACACAACTATCAAACCACAACAACTAACAATAAAGCTAACAAAATAAAACTTAAAAAATTACAAACTCTACAGAAAATAACAATGTCAAATTACCAATCAGAAGAACAGCTTTGCACTGCTTGGCGATCGTGTGTATGAGGAACGCCGTACGCACATTGTCTACATTAGGCACAAGTATACTTGAGTACTCCGGTACTGAGTCTGGCGGATAAACGTATTCCTCCACACGCTCCGACCAATGCTGCCAATCCCCTGTCTCGGCGACAACATACTCGAATATTGTCTCTCCTTCTTTCAACTTGGGCCACTTCAGTTTGGACGGATGTTGCAAAATGAATTCTTCCATTTTCATACGTTCATCATTCTCCAAAACACTGCCAAGACTCCACATGAGCGTAAACAGGAAGAGTCTTTCCAAGTGGAGATCGGAGAAGGTTTTGTGTTCATCTTCGCTAAGTAGCAGTCCAGTCAAAAGGTCTGTGGCTTGTCTGATGTAGAGAGCTTCGAGGATTTTCATCTTGGCGACCAGCTTGGTCTGTACGAATGTGTGAAGGTCTCCGTATATTTTGTGGAAGAGCTGGCGTAGAACGTCGGCTTCTCTTTGTGATCGCAGTTTCAGCCAGCCGTCCAGTACAGGCTGCCAACTCAATACGGAGGCAGACATAAACACCATACCCATGCGGCTGACTGTGGCAGGCGAGGCATTGTCCAGGTTGTCAGGCTCAAAGACCAGTTTACTGTTTGGAGCCATCACTATACGATCTCCGTTGGCCAGAGTCAGTGTCTTGTTGTCGTCCAATACAGAGTTGAGGTTTTCAATCCACACAGCGTCAACTGGGCCATCCAGTACTATCCAGACGTATTCACTCTGTTTGATCTGGAAATGTAATTAATTGCAATTAGAGAGTCTGAAGTTCACGAAAATTGATTTCCTAAAATTAATGTATACAAGAATAATAACTGAGATTTGGTTATCGTATGGATCAGGTGTATGGATCGTATGGATCACATTTAAGACCATTAAGCAAAATTAAGCCTCTTGCTATTTTAAACAAGTGGTTTGCAAACTGTCGTATTGTGTCATTTCAGAGTTCACAAAAATCACTGTTAAATCAAACATTAAAACTTATTTGAAATATAAGTAGCACCTCTTATGGCATAGTACAATATGATTGGATGGACATTACTTTATGTGATCGCATACAAATATAAGTACCTTGTGTGAACGACGCCATAGAGTAGAAAATATCCCGTCAGTCCAATCATTGGTGGCGGCATCCAACCTCCCAAACATTTGTGGAGCTGTGATAGCCTACAAATAAAAAATATCATCAAACAAATCCTTTGACAAAATATAAACTACCACGTAGTACTGTACAAACAAACAAAAAATTTAACACTGTTAAAAACTCATGGGATACTCAAAGCATGATTTCAGTTCAGAACGAGGCAAGACTTTTTCCTACAGTTACCTAACAATGTACATGTTCTCTCACTGATTTGAGAAAGCAAAGTGGCCAATTCGCTCACCAGTGAGACAATGTTAACATTGTCCCACTCTAATTACTTTGTCTCACTCCAGATTTGCAACGTGAAGGCACGAAATAGTGAGCGCGTAACATGCAGGCAATGTCGTATGCGAGTGAAAATTTAAAAACATACGTTTTCATGTCCCTGGCCTTTTACTTCGTAGATACTGGATTTGTAGTTTATTATTATGTGTTTTAATATTTTTTGGGACGGGGGCAACATGTTACACACATTTATTTGGTTTTAAATAGGTTCTAGGTATTTTTTACGTAATTTTAAAGTCTCGAAATTCACGACCATGACGTGTCCCTAGGGTACATTTTCCAACTTTCACGCTGTTTTTAGACTAATTATTCATGCCGAAATTTATAAAGCCATATTTTTATGTCATCAATGGTTATTAAACTTACAAAAAAGGAGCATATTATAATTTTATTGTCATTGCAAACTGACTACCATGACAAAATAAGTCTGTCCCTCGATTTGGCGTCACGACCATTTGGGAAAGATTTTCAACTTTGGAGCACGACAGTGGCAAGCCTGGCGTCAATGGAGTCAGTTGGTTTTAGAGACTAGTTCGGGGTGTACGTCAGGATTGTAGTGCCGGTCGTTTCAAGTTGAAAGGAGGAATTACAAGATTAATAAAGGAAAGATTGTGTTTTTTGTAATTTTGGTGTGTCCATGACCGTACGTAGTCATTCGATGAAGTAGACATGGTGTTAATTTTTGTTTATAAGATATTTCAATTGCTAGATTAACCTAGAAGTCCACTTTGTATCCTCAAACATGAGGTGCAGGGCTACCACCAGAACAGAGCCAAATAACACGTAATTTCACGACCAAAGTTTCACGACCATCCCGGGTTTTTTCACGACCAATCCAGCCTTATGGATTATAGTGTGTTTGGTCGTGACAATAACTTTAATATAATTGTAATTTGAACAGTTTATTTCAATTTAAACACTTATTTTTATTATAACTAACAGTATAATTGAAGGATTGTTTAGAAAGATTTAGATTATTTCAGAAAATTCACGACCGTACCGCTTGTCACTGACCATCACGTTTATGATTTCTATCATAAAAATTTCAAAAATTAAAATATCGTCATATTTCAATGTTTTATACACCAAAGAAGCACACCTCTATACAAACATAACGATTTTTCGGGTCTCAGGTAAGTTTTTCCGGAGTTATACAAACTTAAAAAGATTTTATTGGCTTTTTTCAATTTTTTGAGTTTTTTTATTTTTTTCTAGAAAGACCAAATATACCAAAAGCTTAGTGACCTTTTTATTGTATAATGGTCATAAAAGTAAATTAGTTTATAGCAAAACATAGTTATAAAAATAATATTAACTATTTTTAATATTCATTTAAACGTCTGTTATGGACGTGACAGGATTTTGTGTTTTTCACTAAAGATGCTCTTTTTTAAAAAAATACCAAAGATATTGCGTTACCATGGACATTTTATGAAACTTCAAATGTTAATAAAATAAAAATAATAATAAAAGTTTTGAAAAAAGGGGAAAAAAATTTGCAAAGTGCTTTTCCTGAAAACGTACGTTTTTAAATTTTCACTCATGCGCGCGAAATACGTTGGCAGCACTGGCTGTAAATCAGCTGGTCAGCTGTTGTACTGTTGTATTTGTCACTTCACATTAAATGTTATATTAAAAGTTCACTTCTGCGTAAAAATAGGTTATGTTTCTTCATGTTTCTTCACAAATGTTTTTGTTTTATGGTAACTGTAGGAAAAGTATAATGTGCAACTCGAGTTCAAAGTACAATTGCCTCACTCGAGAAACCAGTCCTCACTCGCCTACGGCTCGTGAGTAAGGATTTCTCTCGAGTGAGTCAATTGCTCACTTTTCTCACTAGTTGCACAAATAACTATTTTCTCACTATGTAAAATCCAATACACCTCAGTTATTTTAATTACTGTAACAGCTGGTCCAAAAATCTAAACAAATATGGTGTATGCTGTTATTTTATTTATTTTTTTTTTTTATTGGCAGATGTCGGGCACGATCGGCAGATGTTGTTAGCAATAAACATATGGTGGGTGTATTTGGCAGACGTGGGGTAGAATCGGATGACATAGAGTGTCATTTCATCATGACATAGATAGACCATTGATAGGGAGACGTCGGGAACAATTGGCATGCTTCTGAAAAGATCTCAAAGTGGAAATCCTGCCTGAAGATCAAGAAATATTTCATACTAAGAAACTTCAGATTTTTTAAATTCTTAATCAATTCTAATTGTTGTGTTTGAATTCGAACTAAGTAAATATTTCTAGATGAGAAATATGATTTCTAGATGAGACCATATCAAAGAATATTTACACTACAATCAAATTTAAACCCAATTAATTATCGTTAAAGTGTGCTTTCAGCATTCGTGTTATAATAAAAACATTCGGACCAACCTTAGGGTTCATCCTCATCTCCTTGTGTGGACGACCACACTCCGTCAAGGCTCTCATCAACACCTCAATACACTTAGTCTTGCCAGCGCCTGTAGGCCCTAGGGTCATCAGACCATGTCTTACCAAGGAGGTCTCATACAACTGTAACACAACAAGTAACTAAGACTGGTTGTATAGTCATACTAAAACACTACATAGCTGGATATAATTGAGAATACAAAAAAGTCTCATACAACTTTTGTAGCACAAAAGCACAAGTAACTAAGACTGGTGCTGTGCTGTCATACTACAATATTATATATTTGGGTATAATTGTGAAAATTAAGTTATCGTTCATCCATAGGTCTAGATATAAATTAATTACTCATAAAACCCTCAATTTCTGGTTGTACCTGAATGATTTTGAGGTTCCACGGTGGATGATTGACGAGGTTCTTCTCATTGCATGCACTAGCTATTCCCTTCTGAAGGTCTTTGTACACGCTGGTCGTCAACTTCAGTCCAACAAACAAGTCCTCAATGAGAGACAGGAACAGCGGCTCGTCCTCATCTACCAGCTTGGATACATTCATGTCTCTACCATGGGCAAAACAAGTTAGTTTGACCGTATATAGAATGTCAAAAAGATTTTTGCTACGTAGAACTACATTCCAAAAAGCTCAATAAGTCTGAACTTACTAGTAAATTTTTGTCCATTTTCGGCTTAGTTTTAAGCTGTGTTTTTAGCCATTGTGAGATTTTTCAAACATAACTTAACCAAAAGTCTTGGGTGATATTTATGGAACTTGGTATAAGTTAAACCTAATTGAATCACCTACCTCAACACTCTCATGACTGTGGTGTCCTCTGTATCACTTGGGTTTGCTCTCTTCTGAGCTCCCAGAGTCCTCAGTACGGACAAGATGTTGCGAAGGCCGAAGTCGTAATGTCGCTGTTTGCTGAGTTGTTCCTCGCACAGCTTGTAAAGCACAAAGAACTTCCTGGCCAACGGAACGTTGTCTTTGAACCCGCACGACGCCAGTTTCACTCTCATTATGATCTAAGTAATGCAAGAGTATGTTAGGGATGCGTGAAGGACAAAATGTGGATAAGTATTTAACCCACGCCAATTTTTAAAACTAGCCTTTTAAATTCCAGTTCCTGGGATTGAAAAGTGTCACTTTACCGCATTGTTATTTCACTTTACAGCACTAGTGTGGTAAATTAATGGACTAATGAGGTCCAACCTTCCAATAATCTAATGTAATATCTCTAACCTGTCTGTCTGGCACCATCATAGCCACGCTGCGGAACATGATCTTAAGATTCTCCGGAAGTTCTTGACGACCTGCGTACCCCGGGTTCATGGTGATGAACAACCCAAACTCTGGGTTCAACGTCACAGTGTCCCCATCACTGAAACATCAACAATTACCCTGTAAAAAGTGTATTACATGATAACTTCTAATTATTCGACTATTTTTTTTAATTGAAGAGATTTTGGTACTTCAACAAATATGATACTCAAACCCTGTCGGATTGAAGTGGTCAGATTAAACAAGTATTACACAAAAACCCAATGTTAAATAACCACTTAGAAAACGGAGAAATCAGATAATACTTCATAGATGATTAAACAAAAAAGTTAACTGAAAATATACACATAATTACTACAAATACCAAATCCCAATATGAATTATCACATCAGAAGGTTTGTTCAAAACCAAACCACGTAAAAACGCAATGTAAACATATAGTTCAATTCAAGTGTTTGTCTGTACTCACAGCTATCTAATTGCAAAATAACACGACATATAATAAATTCTAAAAACCTCTCAGCGGTACAAGACACTGCACACAGCAGTTCAATACAACATACCTGAACAAGAACGTGGTTTTTCGTTCTTTCCGAGCAGTCAACACGATGTGTATCTGCTGAGCTGCTACTGACAACACAGGCAGCTCTATGCGGTTGAACTCATCAAAACATCCCCACGAACCTGACTGTGCCAACCCTTTGTAGATACGGCCGAGACCTGGACATAAACCATCAGTGCCACTTATGTTTCTTAGTTATAGCTGTTTGTCAAAAATAAACTGTATAAAGGAATCTTGTGTTTTAAAAGTCTTGAGAAACTCATTGCATACGTTTAGTCTATTGTGTTGCGAGATAATTGCAGACATTTTCCATCACATCCAGATCACAAAATGGTGTGAATATTTGTTTTTGTTTTACAATTTTTTATATTTAATATTTTTATGTTTTACCAAACCTTTAATGATATGCACTTACCGTTAACAAAAATGAAAACTAAACAAGGAATCCTTTATTCTGGGATGCATACAATATGTTTGAAGTTTCAGCTCTTTTAGAAAATAATACAAGATGAATTTAAAGTTTAAATATTGCGTGTTTGTTTACCATAGAAGGTTTTTTTCAATATCCTCCCTTCTTGTACTAAGAAACCAGGCTCTAACTTCAAACTGCTTTACTCACTTCAAAGCCTATGTCTAAAGGGTTTATTATCTATATAAATAAAATTAGAGTACATAATAAAGTTATTGGCAATTGGTCTGGTTTAAAACATAGACCTCCCTAAACAATTAAAGCTAGAACTTCAATAGAAGGTATTTAAACAAACTTCACCATAAAACTCAACCATCCCTATACATATTTAATCAAACTTATCTACTTATTTCCCATAAATTTCTTTAATAGTAAAATTATTTTTATGACTATTTTCTCTCACCCCTAAAGTCCATCTGGTCAGAGCAGTTGAAGACAACCACATATTTGCCAAGAGATTTGCCCATGTCTTTGGTAGTCTCGGTCTTCCCAGTACCAGCTGGACCTGCAGGGGCCCCTCCCATGGACATGCCTGTTGAAAAAAAAATCAAACACTCTGTCACTGTTCATAATTCTACAATAACACAAAATAGTTGTTCATTCAGCCATTTACATTAGTACAATATCTTAATTGGGTAGCTGGGTGCCTGTCAATCAGAGGATCGGGGGCGTACCTAGGGGGGCCCAGGCTTTGAAAACATACATTTTATTTTTGACCCCCCAAAGGATGTGATCCCCCACCAATCAGATGGCCCCTGTCCAAACTCTATCCCTGGGTACGCCCCTGCAGAAGGTTGTTTAATTGATCTCGAGAAAAGTCACGATCTTTTGATGGTTCCAAACAGGACCCAGATGACATTGTTCATTGGATCTTACTAATATTTCTGGCTAAAGAAACAACTGGTTTTAGTCGGTAAGAAAGCTACACAAGCTAAAAAAATCTAAATACATTGAAAATTCATCCACTTACAAAATGTTTTTATTATTTAGTTGCTTGGATTGATATTTTTCATCAAACGGTAGAACAGTAACGAACCTGATCATGCATTCTTCATACCGTTGGATTCAGGGCCGTCCCTAGGGTTAGCGGCGCCCGGGACAAATGTGGTCGTGGTGCCGCCCCCCCCCCCCCCCCAGTAATAGTCGCATTCGCATATTTTAATACTATGTTAATACGGGATGGACAGGATTGAATTTTTAGTTCGGGGCGGGATTTTTTCCTGTGCATAAACGACCGTCTTGAGTATTGCAGTTACCAAAAAAGACAAACAAAATTAATTTTTACCATTTGTGGCACTGATCTATCTAAACCAAAAAAGGGTAAAAATTTACAGGTAGGCCTATAGAAACTTGTGACTCGCGGTCGAAATGTCTCGCGGTCACGGCGGAATTGTCGGAATGACTAGCGGTCACAGCGGAATTGTCGGAATGACTCGCGGTCACGGCGTTATCGTCGGTATGACTCGCGGTCACGGCGGAATTGTCGGAATGACTCGCGGTCACGGCGTTATCGTCGGTATGACTCGCGGTCACGGCGGAATCGTCGGTATGACTCGCGGTCACGGCGGAATTGTTGGAATGACTCGCGGTCACGGCGTTATCGTCGGTATGACTCGCGGTCACGGCGGAATCGTCGGTATGACTCGCGGTCACGGTGGAATCGTCGATATGACTAGCGGTCACGGCGCGATTGTCTGTATGACTCCGCGGTCATGATGCGATCGTCGGTATGACTCCGCGATCACGGCGCGATCGTCGAAATGACTTCGCCTCCTGCGTTCGTGGAATTACCGTGAACATCGCTCGCGATAGCGGCGTCATCGTCACTCGCGAAGCGGCAAAATCGCCGATAATCGGATCAAATATCGTCCCAAAATAATTCCGAATCAAATGTAATCATGTCCTGATAATCGGGATTTTTCCCGAAAATTTCCCGAAATATCGGGTTAATACCAATAGCCGTTGCGCGGCGCCCCCTCAGCCGCGGCGCCCGGGGCAGCTTGCCCCGGTTGCCCCCCCCTTCGGACAGCCCTGGTTGGATTCCTGAAGGGGGTATACCACCCAGATCTCAAAGCTCAAAGCCCATTATTACAATATTTGTATATTGTTGAAGCAATAAAGAATTTGTCTATTGTCTATTATTAATTTTCAATTACTATCCCAAAACCTTATACAATTAATTATTATATTACATACAATTCATCTCATTAAATATTGTCTAATTTCTAAGTACTGTAAATGTAAACTTCCCAAAGTAATTAGTGCTGAAGCTATGATATTACCTATTGCTTGAGCAAGGGTTATGTAGCATCTGTCTGTTAGTGGAGTGATCACTAAACGTTCTGTACAACCCATGAACTCGTTCTGGTACGTAAACACAACATCGGTGATGTGGACGATACATTCGTCTGTTTCCTCATTGAAATAAAATCTTTCTTGCTTCAGCCATTCAAAGTCATCTTTAGATCGAATCTTCATTCGGTACAGATCATCAAATATGTCTCTAAAAAAGTATGGAGTATGAAATGTTTGAATGTTGAAATAGTGTTTAAAAATAATGCAGTTCTGTTTATGATTTATGAATGTGTTATGTTATTTTTATTGATCACAGCTAAAATCAGTGTTTGAATTTTCAGCTTTGTAAACATTTTTGAAATTAAGTACAGTTACAGTATAAACAATATAGGAGATGTAAATGTAGATGTACAAACCTAATATACTTATAAATTTAAATTACTGTGTTAAAACGTCAGTATTTCAAGTGTAACAACCTTTAGCTATTAATAAACCCATCGTATGTTATCTATCACACGTGTATTTTGCAGTAAAGTTTTCTCCTCCAGAATAGATTCGTCAGATCTCTAACAAATTTGCACATTAAAAAAAGTACAACTTTACTGTAACCTTTAACATATAACTTAACGATAAATAGTATTTACGTTATATGAGGGTTAAAGTTATATACCTCTGATGCACATGGATTGTGACCAAAGTTTCATATTTTACTCTTTCAAACTTAGCCAAGTCCAAAGCGGTCTGATCAATCAGCTGATTTAGAAGAAGCAGCCAGTTATCATTGGTCTTCCTCATCAGTGACTTGTCATATTTGCAATTCTGCAGGGCAAACTCTGAATCTCTCGTCCATAACATTTGGAGCCCCAACAGTCCGACCTACAAATACAAGTTAATCACACTCAAAATGTAGAAGTAAAACTATCAAATTTGCCACAACTCTCAACGCCAAATCTTGTTACCATTCAATTGAGCTCGGAAGCTACCCATCTACTTGTCTTGAAACTTTGAAACAACTTGAAACTTTGTCTGCTGGACCTTATAAACAATAAATTTGAGTGCACTTTTCCTAAACTGATTGGCTGACAGTCTAGATGTTGTATAAACCACAAAAATATTCAGCTAACTTCAGCTAATATCAAGCCAAAACAGTGCATTATAGTTTCACTATAGTGAAACTTGAATCTTGAATCTTTCCTCTCGCCACAGTCATAAATTAGCCTTCTTCACAGTCTGATTTTGGTACCAGTGGTGTAGTCATATACAATAATATCTGCCCTCCCCCCCCCCCCCACCAGATTTAGAACTCAAAACAAAAAAAATATTCCTACATAGTGAACACCAAATTAGAATCATAAACTTAAAATAAGTTTAAGAGTGTAGGGGTGGTTTAATTGTATTTTGAACTAAAAAATATTCATACTTGTTTTCATTTTGACTCACCTGCGCAGGATACCTTGACACCATATCCAGTACTGTAAACTCTGGCTCTTGCATGTATGCATACACATTGGCAATCACAGTCTGCAGTGATAGCTTAGCTTGAGCTAGCAGATTACCCAGCCAATTCTCCACACCTCCATGACACCAAACTTCCTTTTCCAACTGAATTTTCTCCTTTTCCCGAGAAATTATAGATATTATTTTATCGTATTCTTTCTCATCAAACTCCACTCTGTAAACGTTCTCAAAAACTCCTTCCAAATACGCTTGGATCGTGTGGGAGTCCGAAGCCTGCCCCAGGATTTCCAGCAGGGCCGGATCAGAAATAAAGAAGAACCGTGGAAATATCAACCTCTTCTGCTCTAGATAGCCAGTAAGGGACTTCTGACATGTTTCTAGCTGCTCTCTTAAATGGGGGAGAAGTTGTCCCATCATTTCGTCCCCGACACACACCTCAATCACATTTGCGATCTGTCTGGCCCGGGTCATGATGCGAACCCAAGATTTGTCGATGCTTGCGAACCTTTTCGCTTCGCCAGGCAATTCCTTGGCAATATCACCACCGACAAACACCGCTTCCAAATACACCCAGAGATTCTGCACGACAAGCCATGTTTCCAAAATTTCCGCTGTCGTACCGAGCTTCCAAACCCACAGCTGAATTTCTTTCTTGAAAGGAGCGTTGTATCTGTTTGCTGCCAGTGAGTTCATGACCATAAGACTTTCCTCTATGAGACTGTTGATTTCTTGGGTTTCTGTTCCCTTTAGTAATAGTTCCCCTCGTGTTTTGAAAGTAGAGAACTGCAATATTACACTTTCCCAGTTTGCTATTACTTCTTTCAGTTTGGCTTCAATGTCTCTCTCCTTTAGGGCACTGAGACAAATGTCCTGGAAATTAGATAATTATTAGTAGGCTTTGAGTATAAATTAACAACACATAGTCTGTGTGATCATAGAAGGAAGAAGGTTTGTAATAATCATGCTGATGCAGAAAACGCCGTCAGCGTCATGCTGATGCATGGTAGTCAAAATTCACATTTAGGCCTACTTGAATCATCTCTCCCTAAATTCAGAAGGTGCCTAAATCAATGCACGATTAGGTCACTTTAGTACACAAAGATGAAAAAATCACAACGAAATCTACGTAGAGAACTGTAGAGTATAATCATCTGATATAAATACAGGGTGAGCGAACACAATGTATGTTTGCACAAGAAACTAGGTGAGACTGTAATAAATGTATAATTTAGTTCACTTAACATTGGAGTATGTACAGATAATGATAACTAAAAAAAATCCAGTTACAAACGGCAACACTAACCTCAACATCATCTTTGTACTTGAGCAGTGGAGCGTCCATGACCATTTTCAACGTAAACTCATCATTCTCCACATCAAACACGACTCCCAGCAGTTTCTCAAGTCTCAGCCAATGTCTCTCCTTCATTGACTTGTTAGCCATCATCTCTAGTAGAGGGCAGCACTCGTTGAAGTCGTCTATTTTCTTTTTCAGCTCTATAAACGCCGGCCAATCCTTGAGTCCTTTAGGCAGCTTTCGGCACCTACAGTGTGCACTCATATTAGATGAAGTGTTATAATAATTCTATAGGTTAACTCAGAGGTTGGTTTATAAATTGAGATAAAGATGATGAACTGAAACCTTCTGGGAACAATGAACCCTCGTCCCAATTTAATTACCTAAGCACTGTGTTATAGCACTATCACAAAAATTATGATTATAATAATACACAACATCAGTATTTTTCTACTGGTGGTTTCTGCCTAAAATAAAGCATAGAGGTATTTTAAGTTTCCAATCAGTACTTGACCAGAACAAAATGTAAATAATTATACTATTTCTGAATGTTTTACATCATAAGGTATAGTTTTCTGTAGGATTTGCATTCAATTGTATAAAATCCTCCCAACAAATACAACTAATATCTGACCCAATAACATCTCTACCTGTTCTGGAAGTCTGTCAACTCTGACATGATCTCCTCAATGTTGACGTCTTGCCAGGCCAGTTCAAAGTAACCGTCAATCGCCTTGTTCACAATCAGATAAAGCCCGTACAGTTTCTGTAGCAGGTTGAATTGTTTCTTCCGCTCGATGAGCACAGGGTAGTCGTGTACAGGCATGCCAAACAACTTCTCTCCACTACTCAACACCTCATAGTTCCGCCAAAGCTCGTCGAATCGGCCTTGGAACAGCAACACCCTGCAGAAATAATCAGAAATGTTGACTGAAATCTAACAAAGCTAATTAAACACACTCCTTTATACATTTATCATCCTTATATTGGCTGAAGACGATTTTAAGATTACCGTAGCTAAGTGTGGTTTATATTCTTTAAAGTTTGTTTATTGTTATTAGCCCAACTTTTAAACTATTTTGTATGGAAAATAACAATCTATTTTTAAACCCTTATATGTACTCCATATTACAACCAAAAAGTAATTAAAGTACCAGATTGTGAAATCTATTTTTTTAAAGAGAGAAATATTAAATTGGTGTAAATACCTTGCATTTATGCAATCCTGTTATGATGAGACATAACTCCCGCCCGATCACGTTATGGCCCTTAGGCCTAACGTTTCAGTATTTTTTAATCCTAAATGTTCCTATTTATGATCATGTAGGTGTTCATGTTTTTTTTATTTATTTACTATCAATTGACGAGCTTCGAATGAAGCGAGAAGACATCTTTAATAGCCTGAAGATGACTCCTATGTGAGTTGAAACCGGTAGTAACTCAGCTACAAACATGATAGCATAAATGCAAGTATTTACATTTACACCATAATTTATAGTATTTAAATAATGCGATCAGAAGGCTAAAATTCAATATAATTAATGAAGAAACATTATTAAGTCAACATCAGCATAAACATTGCCAACATGACACACATAAAAACAGGCTTTAGATTTTACAATAGTATGAAAAGTATACGTACACAATACAAATTTAGGGTTAAAACACTCCATTGTACAATAAATCAATAATTCAACCATGAACAATTAAACCAATGAATCTTGCTGTTGAAAATGAACACATTTTCAGATCAGAATGTCTGAAAGTATAGCTTTAAATAATCACCAATTGTGGATTTTGCCAGAAGCTGTAAATAAAATAACTCAGGACACCACAAATACAATTAAAAAACTAACATTAAATACAATTCAGACAATAACTATTAACTAGACAACTGATACAGCATCGGTTATTTCTTGTCGAATTTAGAACTTCTGACATACTCCACCGTGAGAAAATTTAACTATCTATACATTCTGATCTGAATAATCATATAACAAATTGCTCCATCAACCCCAATAGTCTAAAGCTTGATTTGTCAATTCTTATAATGCAAACATTTAACCATCCTGTAGTTGAGGCACAATAAAAAGGATTTCTAAAAAAAATTATATTTTTGTAATCCAAGATGGCTTTGAATTATAATTTTGTTAGGTTAGGTTTTTAAAAATTGTGATTTATATTTTTACGTCATTATCTCACCTGTCGCTGGCCTCTTTCGCCTCAAGACCATCCACCATGGGTCCGTCAGTCTCAAAGTCAATGTCAAACTTCTCTACTTCGGCAGCGAATAAAGCTACTTTGGCAATCAACTCATCTTGCAGCGGGCCTTGGCTGGCACACAACGACTCTTGCATGTCTTTGGACTGGAACAGTTAATTATTTTAGTTTGTTGGCAAAATTCTCACTCCATAAGTCATCCAAATATAATGGCTACAAATATTAAAGAGAAAGGACCATTTGCTAAAATGTAGAAGAATAGGAAAGCCAATGTTAACGAATCATCAAGTATTTACAGTCAAAGCTAAGTTATTCTTATTTAAAATTATAGTTAACATATTTCTATAGGTAGCTAAGTTGATGTAGTGCTTGTCTAGTAATCAGCATGTAATGGTTTAATCCTGACATAAGTCAGGATTGTTTAAACTGGACCTGGTATGCCTTGATGATTGGACTTGTAATAAAAGAATACTTAATCAAGACCTAAGAAAAACACATGTCACTCACTATACAGTCTAAACTCATCCTTCATTTATTTTTTTACTTACCGTATTGATATAGTTCTGACATTGCCTCTTTTAAATTTACAACAGATGTGATTCAACTATACATGAAATGAACAAAGACTTTGTGTAACATCGTGTAACTGTGTAATTAACTCGGAATTACATTATTTCACTCATATTTCTATAAAAATAAAGTCACACAATAAACTCACATATTGGATCAAGTTTTCAAAGTTGAACCGCAGTCCATCTACTTTCTCAATATCTTCGGGTGGAACTTTTATGTTGAACTTAGCAAATATTGCGTAAGCTTCCTCAATTGCACTCAACTCTCTATCCAATCTGATAAAGTTTCCTCGGATGGCATCAAGGCAAGCCATTGCTAATCTCACCTGCAAAAAATCAGCCACATGATTGAACAATCTCAAATCTGCTAAAGGCCTTGCAAATTTTTTTTTCCATTACAGGTTTTACGCGGTAAGTTTTTAGAATTGCACAATTATTCGCTACATTATGTGTTACAGAACCAGAACCTAAGTTGCGAATGCATGCTCAACAAGATTATACTCTCCAGTAAATCATGGCATATCTGTTTATAAACTAGGTTTAATCTGTTAAAAAATAACAATAACAGTAACTTACCAGTGAGATTTTAGCGGGAGAAATTGTGACAAGTTTGTGTGTCTAAAATATCCCAATGTTAGCACATTTTATATTTGTTAGGATTGTAGTTACATTAAAACAATATTAGTATTTTATTTAATACCTCATCTAGATCTTTAACTGGCTTCTTGAGCAGAATTTCTTTTTTCTCCTCCATAAAATCCCAAAGTTCGGATAACTTCTTGCGATAAGCGTTGAGAAACAGATTTGATAGTGTTAGTTTCCAATCTTTCCATTCCACTTTGAGAGCCAATTTCAACTGAGCTGTAGAATCAATTATTAACTTTTACTTTTTGGTTTCATAATCATTATCTTATTCATAAAGAATCCATAGAAAAAGTATAACCATATTACCGGTATAAATTTATGAGGAATAACCAAAGGCCTTTGATAAAGTTGAGCACTGGTGGCAACAGCAGAAACACTTATCTTAAAGATGAATCTAAATTTTTAAAAGGATAGAGGGTCAAATCATCAATCCTCTTAGTTATATGGATGTCATAAAAAGGTAGTTGAACAAATTAATTTTTGATACATTGGGAAGACAAAAAAACAATAGTTAAAAGCATATATAATTCAAATTTTTTGTCAAATAAAGTTACATGAAAACAAATCCAACCAGCATAGAGTTCTAGAGCTTTTTTTCCTACAACGCTAGGCACGAGCCCGGGATTGATTTTTTTCACATTACTTCAGGCTAGACCTAGGGGTTGCGGCATTATCACTTGGATAAAATCTATTGGTGACTTGGTGGGATTTGAACCCAGGACCTCAGGGACTGAAGTACTGCGCTCTAACCACTACACCAGCTCGCTTCCCCTTCCCCACCAAATGACCTACCATGCCACTGTTGATCGAACACTACGAGAGGTCGTCCAGTGGTCGAAACTCGACCAAAAATATGTAATGTACTCACTTCTCTATTTTCACCCCACACTGTAAATAAAACATGTGATTGGAGTTTCTTCCATTTGTTTTGATTTTCTGTTTATATTTCGTTGTTATTTCGTCACCAGCATGGCAACGCATAAGATCCATGTTAATTTTTTCAAATTTTTAAACTCATTTTTTGTGCTTATCTTTGAGCCTATTTAAATTTATAAAGGGATTCTGCACACCTACAGGAAAATTGCTTTCTAACGGTATGCGCAGATTTACCCCACGATGCACACAAGCTGAGAAAAAAGGTTTTAAAGAAACATGCTTGCCTATTAATATATAGATAGATAGATAATGCAACAACACTATAAGCACACTAGAGCTTGCAGGTTAGATTTTATGAACTAATTCCCCGAGTTTTACTAGAACTTAGGACTTAAAGTGTTAAAAAGCGATAAAATTAAAGAACTAGCCTATGTCTATAAGTTTCAAGATTGTAAATTTATCTCCAACCTTCCACTTAAGTTTTTTTTTAAAAACTTAGTTCACATCACACCATGAAGCTATAGGCCTACAATTGAGAACAATTTTGCCTTACTTGTAAGCATCTCAAGAGGACCAAGAATATTCATGCTTGAAATCTCTTCAATATCTTTCAAAGATTTTTCCAGTTTTGCAAACTTGTCTTCAATCACAATTGTGTGGGGCTGGGAATCAACAAACCCATTCATCTGATCGTTGCGCTTTTCTGACCAAAGATAAGAGTACTTCTGATAAGTCTGTAAAATAGTAAAATTTTAATAAGATTAGTTTAGTGATAGAGTAAATTTGAAAAAAGAAATTTATGTATATGAAGTTTTTTAAACAATAATAAGAACTAGGCTACCTTTTCCTACTGCAAAGATATCAGAAAATTTTATTTATCTGTTATTTGCTTTAGCTGCATAACATTTGAGTAGAACGATTGTCAAATAATGAGACCTATGAACTGCTTTTATCTCTTTTCATATTTGAGTTTAATTATGTATGTTCACTTTCCTTAATATTCAATAGAATCCTAAGCCTACTGCTTTTCCAGCTCCAAAAAAATATTATGGCGTATTAACGTAGTATCAAGTAAGATGCAAAAACAAACAAGTCAATAACAAAATACTGTGTTCTCTTGAAAAACAAGTAATTTAACGTAATAAAGTAATCTACTTTTCAAATTATCTTTTCCAAAGCATAACAGGTTAAATCTGTCTTTGAAAAATATGACGAGAATTTGTGGCTCTGCTTAAAGGACCCAAACTGCATGGATACCTAAATTAAAAATAAATATTTGTAAACCTTAATTTTATGTCAATTTAGGGGTAAGCTGTAAACATATTTCGCATTGTAAACAGGATGAATTTTCTACACTTACCTTCAACAGTTTGGTGACGTCCGGTTTTATGAGCAGTATGATGCCTTGCAGTGCGATGGTCAGTCGTATCACCTCTTTATTCTCCATCACCTGTTTTAAGTAGTCTCTGCGACCTTCCATATTACTACTGTCAGACTCAATACTGGACACTAACTCTACTACAACACTCTTGGTGGCTGCAAACATAGAATGGAGAGTTAATTAATTTTGGGTAGCAATGTACGTCAAAGCAGACTGAAGAAATGTACGCTAATGAAAAATTTTCAAAATAAAATCGTAACAAATATTTTCAATTTAGTCAAACGAACGATAATGACATGGACACCAAATAACAATTTATTCATAGACTATTGCTCGTCCTTTGGTATTAAAACAGTGGCGATTCCAAGGGAGGGGGGCCACAGGGGCAAACCCCCCCCCCTTGGACGCCAGACAAATAAATTTAAACATCCATTAAAACTTAAAACATTAACAGAGTTTTTGGACACAGTTCTAGACGTTAAAACTGGCTTTAGAAAGTCACCAAACGCCTTTTAAAATAAAAAATTTTCTAGGTGAGAACGGGGTAGCGGATTTTTATCCCCCTGGAATTTTACCCCCTGGGCAAACGTGACGTCACAAACCAGGGGGTAAAATTCCGGCCGCCAACTTTTGAGTTTCGCGACATTACCTCGATGGATTAAACGCAGAATTAAACATATATTTTCACGGTTGTGAATTTAATCAGAACACATCAAATTATAAAAACCTAGAGTGTACGGCCCGGATTTTTACCCCCGGAATTTTATCCCTGTAATTTTACCCCCCGAATTTTACCGTAATTGACAGGGGAAGAATATATCAGCAGATGGTAAAGTTTGGGATCCCCAGAAAACTAATAAAACTAGTAGAAATGTCCTTGAATGAATCAAAATGCAAAGTAAAAATAGATGGAGAGTTATCAGAAAGCTTTGAAGTAAGAACAGGCGTAAGGCAAGGTGATGGAATGTCACCTATACTATTTAACATAGCCTTAGAAGAGGCCCTCCAACAAGTAAGACAAACAAATATAGGTTTAGAAATGGGAACAAAAATAAACATCCTAGCTTTTGCGGACGATGTAGTAATTCTGTCAAAAAACAGAAATGACCTAGAGGAGCTAACCAGACTGTTCATAAAAAAATCAGAAAAAATGGGCCTAAAGATTAATGATGAGAAGACAAAATATATACACTTCACGAGACAGCCAAATGAAGTGAGGACAAATGAAATTAGTATAGATGGACATACTTTTGAAGTTGTTGAACAATTTAAATATCTAGGGGTAATTATATCAAGCAGCAATAGTGAAGAAATGGAAATAAATTATAGGATTGCTCAGGCCAATAAATGTATGTATTCTTGTAAGAAATTGTTGACTTCAAAGATTCTCTCACATAAAACGAAAATAAAAATATATCATAGTATAATTCGACCAGTATTAACATATGGAGCTGAAACTTGGATTTTAAATAAAAAAGAAGAAAACAAAATGATTGTTTTTGAAAACAAAATTTTAAGAATGATATATGGACCAATACAAGAAAATGGAGAATGGAGAAAAAGGCATAATAGGGAGATAAGGAATATGTACAATGATTATGATGTAGTAGCACACGTGAAAGCAAGGAGAATAAAGTGGGCAGGACACGCACTACGGAGAGAACGAGGTTCACTACTAAAAGAAGCAAGTATAGGAAAGCCAGAAAGGAAACGACCATTAGGAAGGCCCAAGAAGAGATGGTGGGATAGTGTTTCCAAGGACGTCAGAGAAGTGGGGGCAGAAGTGGAAGAGGCAGAAGATCGAGAGAGATGGAAAGCAGTTGTTGGTGCGGCCAAATCCCGCCTTGGGCATAAATGGCCATGGGAGTGAGTGAGTGAGTGAGTAATTTTACCCCCCGGAATTTTACCCCCGGATTTTTACCCCGGAATTTTACCCCCCCCCCCGGATTTTTACCCCCGGAATTTTACCCCCTGGCCAGATATATAAATTAGTGAGAATGATTAATTATCTTCATTCTGTTTTAATTTAATAGTAAACATTTTATTATTAAGTAGCCTATATTAATTTATTTGTAACATTAACTAACTGAACAGGTTTTTAATTTTAATTTTGAGATTCTAGTAATTAGGATTCGATCTTTGAAGCTAACAGTTGGTTAATATAACGTATAAACAATCGACTGAATGATAATTGTTTCGAACATTTCTTTACAAAATAAATAAATAAAGATAGGCTACTAAATAATGAAATGTTTACAATGAATTAAAAACAGAAATAATAAAATCAAACATTCAATTTCTAAAATCGGCCAAGGGGTAAAATTCCGGGGGGTAAAAATCCGGGGGTAAAAATCCGGCCCGTACATCTTCAGTTGTCTAAACGCTAGTTATATGGACAGGGGGTAAAATTCCGGTTTTTATTGCTAATCTAATTAATCACGCTCTGTCTATTTTCATTAGACTTCCAAATCCGCGGGGGTAAAATTCCGGCCGCGAACAAACTTTTGGCCACTCAGGTTACTACGTCATAGTGACGTCAGCTTTGCCCAGGGGCATAAAATTCCGGCGACCCGTGAGAACGCCAAAGTCCCCCTCTTTTCTTGGAGGGTATGGGGAACCCCCTGCACCCCCACCAGTAACTCCCCCCCGCCTTGACAAGGTTCTAGAACCGCCACTGATTGTAGAGTTGTTGTCTTTGTATGACAACAGAGTCATAACAGAAGAATCACCATCTTACATTTGTTTATCCTGACCAGTGCTGTTTAGAACACAAAATGAATTTTAAGGGACTTGAAACTTCTCTCTGCAAGTACCAAGGTGTCATAAAGGTCACTCTGTCGAGGTTGACATTTGACTGTGATTATTTCATTTGTCACACGGTAGTCGCCCAAAGACCTCTTCTAGGAAGGCATTCAGCCAACACAATCACACACTAAACACATTAAAACTTCAGATTTCACAATGATAAGTCTACTTGCAATACTGACCACCATGTCTGGACTTGGTCCTCTGAGCGAGTTGTGCGGCACCCAGACCCCACTGAGGCACCGAACATATGATCGACAACACAGACTTGGTGATCTTGGAGAAGTATCCTTGCATCTGGTCCAGGGTCGGAACAATCACTACATTGGGGATGTGCAGAACAATCTCAGCCACTAACAACGGATAGATGTAGTCAGGGTCGTTCTTGTAGTGCTCATACCTGACCACGCCACTGGGGAAATCAACAAGATTATGAGTTCTTCAAGAGTGACAAACTAAGCTATATTCAACAAGCTCAAATTCATAATTTAAAAAAACCGCTATTTTGACTAAGAATCTTTTTAGTAATCGGGCAGCACAGTGTTCACCTAATAGAGACCTTTAATTTAACGTATTACACAGCTATGCTCTCAAAATATTTTCTGACTCCTAGTGAGCTGTACCCAGTAAACATTTGTAATTTACTTCTAAAAATGGATTGTTTGGTTTGAATACTTAGGTCTAATGTTTTGTTACATTACCTGCAATGGTTAAAAAAATATAAGTTTCTGGGAAATTTTTAAATTTTGAAACTGCATACTTGCTGTTATTACTTTACCTACGACTGTTTTTGAAGTAGCCTTTCAGTTCAGTTCTTAAAATTGAAAAGTTTCACATAACAACATTGTTTACTTTCATAACAGCATAGTTTTTACTCATAACAACACGGGTAATGGACCAATGAGGTTCACGGATTGAGAGAGAAGAAGTAAAATTGTAATGATTCGAACTTCAACTAATCAGCTGTTCAGGCTGTTAAATTGTTGAGTGGTGCAATTAGTGTTTGGTACAGTGTTTCATTGCATCACTGTCAGTGGCAATGAGAGGTTATAAACAAAAATATAACCTTTTAGAAGTTATGAGTAGTGATTTTTAGTAATTAGAACACTGTCGTAGGTAAAGTAGTGTACGCAACTTGCATAAATATTAAATGGTGTTAACGAACGACACTCGTATAAGTTTTTAAGGCACTCACTAAGGCTTGTACCTTAAATTTTCTACTCTTCTTGTTAACAATCTTTAACTATCTTTACGCAATCATTGTGTAAACCAGGGGTGCCCACAAGGGGGGGCCGTGACGCAGACTGCGTCATTGAAATTCTTGGGGGGGGCTCAAAAAATTCAAATGGGGGGGGGGGCTAAAGTTAATTGCAACAGTGTTCAACGTGACGACAATCCAAAATACATTACGAAATCGCCAGATAGAAAGTGGATAATTAATGACAATAGTTATATTTTTGAATTAAATTAGTTCAAATAGGATTTTAGGATAGTTTAGGATTCGTGTATAAAGTTATGATTAGCAACACGTGAGATCTAAGAGAGGGAGCGCACGGGATGGCTCAACTGCTGTGATAGATAACAGATAACGCGTGGTACAGACACATCCAGCTACACCGCGACTTAAGCACAGCAGAACGCTTTGTTGACATAAAGCTCGTTAAAATACAATCAAGTAGCAAGTAGCATAGGCTACAATACTTTACACTATTGTGTATACTCGATTACTTGAGTTAATAGGGAGAGGGGGGGGAATGAAAAATACGGTTAATCCAATCTATATATATAATCCAATGTATGTTTGTCCTTTATGGACTCCGAAACCGCTCGACAGATTGTAATGAAACTTTCAGGCATTATTAAGCATTATTCAAGGATGGTTTGTGTGAAGTTTGGTGCAGATCCGTCAAAAGGACTCTGCCCCAGTGGCTCTGGAGTTTTCCATGTTAACCTTATGAGTACTCATATTTAAATGGAATTAAAGAATCTTAACAGCTGGTTCAACTAAGCAATTTGATTCTGTGATGTTCAATAGCATTAAAAAGTTAATAGGTTTACCAACAGGGTGCAGCACTATTTTTTTTATTTGTGACGACAGCTAATTTGCAACCAAAAGGTGAGTGAGCGTAGCGAACGAACTTCAACCAGGACATGATTGAGCCATGCGAACGAGCTCATCTTGAAAATGAACGAGCATTGACATAAAACCACATTAGGACAGGACGACGTCTGTCGGGCCAGCTAGTATAGTATAAAAACAGATGAAAAACTCTTTAACACGCTGTAAACAGCCATTAAGTCACGATTTACATTTTTATAAACGAAATTCAATATTGCACAATCATTATTATTGTAAATTTCAAATCATTTATCTTGGTTCAGTTGTACAAACGGCAACGATTAAAATTCTAGCTAACTCAAACTCAACTAATCACGAGCCAAACATTACATTGCTATAAATAACGTAAATATTAAAGGAACCTTTAGAAAGTGTTATAAGGTACTGCTCATGATAGACTGATAGGCTACCGATAGGTGCTGTATCACAGCATAGGAATTGATAGATAAGTAATGAAAAAGTGTAAAATTATATTTAGAGATAATTAAAACACTCTTAAAAAAGAATGTAACGAGAACAATCTTGTTATTCTCTTTCTTTGTTCTTCTGTTCATTAATAGGTTTCTCTTCAATTCATACACAAATTCAACAAGTCGAAGTCGCCATATTTAGGCCTACTCATTGACCAATCACAGCCTTACTAAAGTTACCATGGTTATCACTCAATCACAGTGTACTAAGCATTATATCGTCATCATTCCCCAGCTGTTGTATCTGAAATCTGTTGTAACATAGCGCACAGCAGACAGAAGTGTATAACGGAGCAGACGATTGTTGGCGCAAGCGTTGTTTCAATTTCATTTTCATCAAAGGAGCTATGATGTTTCTAAAGGGAGGGAGAGGGGATCGTTATATCGAGAAAGACGCTGACAATTCGTTATGGATATTCTGGCAATAAAAAATTGCTTAAATTGAGGTGACTTATAAAACTCTAATTTTATTTATATAGAAAGATAAGTTTTCCAGTCCTGTACAACACTGATTCACGGTCTTTTCCCTGTAATCAAAATTCAAGTACAACTTGATACACGCAGAATCTCCGGTTCCCGACCTGGATGATGGCTAGTTATTTAATTTAATTTACAGTTACATATTAGTACTCGTGATAAATCAAACCCGTTATGTAAGCCAAAGCCACGCGGTTATTAATCTCACTTGGTTTTGGATTTGCTTACAAACGTGATCGGAAATGGTTAGGGTTAGGGCCTACACAGTATTCTTAAAGAACATTTATGTAAACATATCAGTGACAGCTAGGAAAAGGAATCTTTATCAAAACAGCTGTTCGTAATTTCATATATGACGTGTTTTCTTAACAGATTATTAGTATTTCATAAATTAATGACGTATGTAGTAAACATGGAGAAAATAAACTAGAAAAAATCACACAAAATTGTATTTTTGATCGTCCGTTATTTTATTTCCAAAATAGTGAGGCCATATTTTAATGGCTATAAGGACTCTCTCGCCAATCCTGTGGATACAATTAAACCATTAGAATCATATGCGGTACTCTAGTTTTCTTCAGAGTAGACCATGAGTAGGCTGCATAAAATGCCTTCTGGGCCGTGACAGACGGACATAAATGGAGATAAGACATGTTTCAACTTCTTCAATGTATAAAACATAAATAACCCAAAATATGTATAATTCTGAGCAATGTACAGACAAAACTATAACTTTATTGATATAGATTAACTGGGTTTGAATTTTAAATATCTAAAAAAATTTTAAAACTTCTTTTATACAAATAGTGCTGGGCGGGGGAATAATGTTTCTCATTTGTTGTGTACATCATTTATAGGGGGGGGGGCTGTTGCTCAATTGGGGGGGGGGGTGCGTCACGAGTCTAGGGGGGGATGGGCACCCCTGTGTAAACTACTGTTAATAAACTGCAATTTTTGCTTATATGGAGGGAATAATAAATCAAATAGAAAATTCTGCATGATAAATAAAAATAGATTTAATGGATATATATTTAAGGGTTTATTTATCGTTATTCCAATCAGTGAACATGTTATTGTATAATGACCAACATTTAGACTTATAATTATGAAACCTCAAATAAAAAAACTTGTTATATTCAAAGGAAGAATTAATAAGTAAAAAATATATACATAATAGTAACCTCAGCATTAGGAGAACTAAATAGTTAGTCCTTCTGATGAAAAAAAAAATATTTTTATAGTGATTTAATAATAAAAAAGTAAAAGAAAACCACCTGTCCTACCTGGAAGTACCTGCACGGTCTCTGAGACTTTTCAAAGTGTTTCTCGTCGCTTTGGTTATTGAATCCATATTTTTACGATTGAAATAACTGTACACATCCATGCAATCGGCTTTCAAATCCTCAATTGTATACTCTGTTGTATCTTTCTTGTACTCTGAAAAAGTACAAACATGTATATGATTAATAACAAAGTATCTAACAGACTTAGCTTGAGTTTGTTTGAACTTGATTCACTGAACACTGTAGTAAATAAAACAACATAAAACATATCTCTATAGTTTGAGATCAGTCAAATTATAAACTGCTAGAAATGGCTGGTGCTATTGTGAGTTATTTGGGTGTTCATTGTTTGGGCTAACCTTATGCAATCTGATGTGCGACAGACTCTTTATAATAGTGTTACTATTGTGATTACTATTGTTTACTATCGGAATCTGATTCTCAGGCGAAAAGGTTATCCACGTTCCAGCTTCGGCTGTATTTCTGCACTAATCCTTTTATTTTTTAAGTACTTTCTGCACAACAGTCCCTTAGATTGTTCGACCTTCACACCTGAGGATGCTAGGTTCCAGCCAGGAACTGTTTTACCTTAGCTTTCTCTAATACAAGGCCGCAGTGTTGGTGTGTGATAACGTCGCAACGGCATGCCTATTGCCATGGTTATAACAGTAATAACAAAAGTGTAAACATAAACATTGCCTATACACTCCATTATAAATTAGTACAACAGCTGTTTTGGTTTGACAGGACAGCGGTGTTGCCACTTTTGTTTCGCCGTGGCCTTGTATTAGAGGAGGCTATGATTTTACACATAACTTTAGACTAGCCCTAGAGGGTTGGAACATGGATAAAATCTATTGGTGATTAGTGGGATTTGAACCAGGGACCTCTGGCGCCAAACCCCGTACTCTAACACTAGACCCCCAATCTCCCCAATCTCTTAGATTATATCACACCAATGCTCCAATATTAGCCATTGGTATCTCATTCACAACTAGGTACCTTCTCCGTCGTCTGCTGCTCCACGAGGTTTGATGGCAAACACTGGTCTGTTTACTTTGTTCATATCCAACCAGTTGTATTTCTCCTCCTGGTCGATGTTGGGATCCTCGACAGAACTTACAAATTTATTGATCAACTCTATAACAGCCTCCTCAGCTGTCTGAGACCTGCAAATATCACAATTTACTATCAGCCCTCCTACCTTGTCTCACTTTCAACATGCTTAGGTAATATTGTCAGACCGTACCAGCGGTTCAGTAGGCCTATGCCTAGGTGTCTAAGGGACGAAAATATATGTTTTCCTTTATTTCACAGTCCTCAGAAAATTACTTTACAGTTCGAAATTCATCTTGTAAAGCGGGTTAGTGGGTTTTTTTCTGTACAGACACACAAAATGTATGCCAAGTTCTAGCAAACTGTTTCTGGGATGTGACAAATCCCATACTCGCTTGCAATTGTGTGTTGGCTTGGCATTCCCTCTAATAATTTTTAAAACACTATTTTATATTGCCCTTTGTTATTCCTTCAAGGTAATCTAAAAAAAAACAATCAAACACAGACAATTCTACAATGCCACCATATGATCAGAATTTGTTTATTTTCTGAGTTCTCAGTTTTGTTCATACTAACGAATAGTAGTGTCTATGTATACCATACCTATAGCACATTGTGGATGTCCAAGTGATTTGTATTTCTACTCGTTAATCAGATACTTATCAGCTGAGTCATAATGTATCCTCAACATATTACTAGTTGTGTAGGTTGTTTGTTTAGACACAAAGAAATAAGATACGACACTCAACGGTACACCAAAGTGGTGTCTAGTACTAGTGCTGGTGTCTAGAGAAACGACCCCCTCCGCCCCCTCCGCAACATGTACTACAACATTTAAAAAAAGACTCTGTGCCATGTGCGATAGGACTTTCCGCACATTGCTCACCGTTTAGGCTCTTCCCTGCTTGTCACGAGTATATTTCTGCCTCAACATACCAGAGCTGAAAGTGTACAGTTGTCCCATAAGCTTATATCCTCTGTACCTTACTTCTCTGTGGTTTAGTACAATAACGATTTAGTCTCACCTGGTTTGCAATTCCCTAGACACCATCACAGCATGGGTCTGGTTTTCTATGTACCACTCGTGAGCCTCCATTGCTTGCGGAGGAATCAACAGCAACATTTGCTCTCCGATAATCTCCAACGTGTCGTCCACACGGGCTTCTTTCATGTCGTTTACCTGAGGTTGCATGCAAATGTGAACATTGTTGGCATAAATTTTTACTTTTTATGAGAGATTTCCAGTGAATCGAAAGGACCCAAGTTATAAAACGTCTTACAGATTTTGTCCTATACAAAAGATATTTCTCATGTATAACATTTTAAGAAGAATGTCATAAGTGAACATTATTTGACTGTTCTAAACCCTTGATAACTTTTAATAACTGAGCAAATATTTTAGACTGATACAGGTTTGAGTCCAGTAGCGATTGAGTAAGTCCCTTTTTCCTGGGAATCACCCTTGCTTAAGGAAAGAAAATTTTGCCCACCGGTACTTTAGCTGTGGGGTTTAATATTAAAAGCTGCTTCAATGTTAAATTAAATGAAGTTACATCATTTTCATCATAAAAAAATAGTTGACAGTTCATGTCAATCGTCAAAATAAAAACAATCTAGATAGCTTTGCCTTTGAAAAGAATCCGATCTGTTCTTTGATAGGTAATCAAAATTATCTCATACCCGTTAAGAGTTATCACAACACATTTTTTCTATTCGTCTCTTTACCAAAGAGTCAAAGAATTCCTTCATAAATTTGACACTTATGCATACATCACTCAAAAAGTGTGCTACAGTCTTAAATTCTATTTCCTTCCTTAATATTCTTACTGTGATATTTTATCTGAAGAGAAAAATTCTATAATTCACGCTAAGTAAGTTGTCCTAACAGGTTGGCTTGGTAAAAAAATTTGGAATATCCAACAGAAATCTGTAGTTTACATCATGACACTCATTCAGTTACAAAAAACATGTTATTTTTACTCCAAAACTGGTAACAACTTAAGCATGAGGATGGAATGTCTATTGGTACCAAAGAATGTCACCTCTTTACAGAACATATCCACAGAGTCTAGTGTTTCTTTGATGCCAGCCAACATCTGAGGGATGGTGAGAGATGTCCAGGATATGTTGCTCAGACAAGGCAAGAAGGCTTCGTCAAGCCGCATCATCTGCGACTGAATCAGGTTCACAAATATCGGACACACGTTCCTCCTGTGGACATTTTGTGTATCTCAACTCAACAAACCACCACCATAGAATACTACTGACCTATTCGGTGACCAAACAGCCAGCCAGTGAAGTGGCCTTAGTGATAAGATATTCCAGTGGCCGTTCTTGAACCCACAAAGTCTTGTTTAAAAGCCTAGGATATGCCATCACTGAGCTTCCGTGTTCAGTATATTTAAACTATACTCTGTATTAAAAATTGTATTCAACTTTACTAAACATGATCTACATTGAGATTTTAAATTACTATTTAAATATTTCAACCGCTTTCAATATTTCTACCGGAACCATGCAGTCAAACTATAGCGGTAGTTAATACAGAACATTTCACACATTTTATTAAAACGGATAATTAGAGAATTTAAACTTTTTCTTACAAAACGTGATGTTTCTGTGAGTGAAGCTTATGTCAATCATTTTTATGGAAAGGCCAATAATAAGATGTAGTTTTTTATACAAATCCAAAATAAACAATTTTTTTTAATCCTAAAGGTTATACAATAATTAAATACACATTTTTGAATTTACAAAAAATGCATGTTAAATATTCTTCTCAAAAATAATAAAATAAAGCGCTCTTACAACATAAGACTCCAAAACTATTTTCAGTTTCCAAAACACTATCTCAAGTTAAAGGAAAAATGTCCTTCATTCTTTTTATTTTTTTATCCTGGTTTCATGAACTTGAATTATATTCAATTTATTTTTTAGTTGTAGCCTTTGTAGTTCTTGTAACATATTACCTACTCAAAAAGTAGGCCCAGGCGGGGAAGAAAACCTATTAACCGGTCTCGTAAGTACAATTGTAGTTTAAATTAGTTGCTGTTTCTTAAAAGCAGTCACGGTCAACAATTCTATGACGTTATCAGAAATTATCTTACAATATAAACTGTTTTATTCTATAATATCCCTCTCTGTCATTGTACCACACACTTTGACACCAAACCCTGTTTTATCCTTCCTTACCGGTGCATTGAAAATGGTTATGCAACAATAAAGAGTTTATTTACTGTATTCAAGTAAAAAAGATCCTCAAGGTGTGAACCTTATATGACTAAATCAATTCTAATACAAGTTGTCCCAAGTGTATAACTTACCTAATTTCAATATTGCGAGCAACCAAAGCCTTAACTTCCTCCAGAGCAAAGAAAATTCTCGGTCGACAGATCAGAATCAGCAATGCCAAGTCCGGAACAGCTTTCTGCATTCTCAGGAAGTTCTCCGTCTCTAAGAACACTTCCATGATGGACAAATGGAAGTTCAGCTTGTAAGAGCCTGGTTTGTCCCCAACTTTCAACAGTGGCACACTCAGACAAGTTTGGACCTGTGCATATATTTTATGGCAAAGATTACACTTTTAAATACTTTATTCGGATAAGGCTAGTTGTTACTTTACACAGGACCATTTATCAAAAGTCCAATATGATCAAGGAAAGCTGGGCCCAGTTTCAAACCTTCAAATGGTTGATGTTCAATAATAATATATCAATGACAATCAATATTACACATTGGTGGAAATAAAGAAGTTTGATATGCGCAAGTAACATTACCTTCATCATGCACTCATACCACCCTCTGTGGTGGATCTCTTCTTCGTAGGCTAAGTCCAGCTGAAGCTCTTCAAGGACATTTGAACACTTCATTCCTAATTCAGTCTCAAGAGCTGTAGCTCCATCTTCCTGTAATCAAACACTTACATGGTCTAGTCCCTTGATAATCAAACACTTACAAAGTCTAGTCCCTTGATAATCAAACACTTACAAAGTCTAGTCACTTGATAATCACACACTTACAAAGTCTAGTCCCTTGATAATCAAACACTTACAAAGTCTAGTCACTTGATAATCACACACTTACAAAGTCTAGTCCCTTGATAATCAAACACTTACAAAGTCTAGTCACTTGATAATCACACACTTACAAAGTCTAGTCACTTGATAATCACACACTTACATGGTCTAGTCACTTGATAATCACACACTTACAAAGTCTAGTCCCTTGATAATCAAACACTTACAAAGTCTAGTCACTTGATAATCACACACTTACAAAGTCTAGTCCCTTGATAATCAAACACTTACAAAGTCTAGTCCCTTGATAATCAAACATGTACATGGTCTAGTCCCTTGATAATCAAACACTTACATGGTCTAGTCACTTGATAATCAAACACTTACAAAGTCTAGTCACTTGATAATCACACACTTACAAAGTCTAGTCCCTTGATAATCAAACACTTACAAAGTCTAGTCACTTGATAATCACACACTTACAAAGTCTAGTCCCTTGATAATTAAACGCAAACACTTACATTGTCTAGTCCCTTGATAATCAAACGCAAACACTTAAATGGTCTAGTTTCTTGATTAATCAAACCCTTACATGTTATTGTCCTTTTATAATCAACTAAATTGAAGGATAGTCTACACACACTAGTTTCTCTTACCTCAAACATAGCCATAATTTCTTCCACCCTCTTATTGATTTGTCGAAACCAAGCAATGGACCCAGTTACGGGGGGACTGTTCCTGGGAATGGCAGGTACACTTTTGTTTTCAAAATAATAGTCATAAATGTAATTCAGCTCCTTATAGAAGAGAGACATTGCTTCATCATATGACTGTTCCATTTCCAGGGCTGGTAAATGCAATTTTTGAAATCTGTAATCATGTTTTTAGTGTAGGACAATAATCACGGTACTAGGATTGGTCTCCATGCAAGCTAGTTAAAATATCTTATACCAACACCAAGCACTTTACTTCAATGACTACTGTCATTGACTTGACTTAATACTACACCTATGGAATGAAGTCAGTGCTACTATGCTATTGTTATCTCCTCGCGTCTATGCAACAATAGTTTCATTATAGTGATAAGGAAGCAAGGGAAAATTGATGCTCTGACCATGTAAGAGTTAGCTCGCTTGGTTAAGACTATAGCTTGCAGGAGAACTTACTTTAAGGACATCCCTCCTTTTTTAGTATATCCATATACATTTAGATAGCCTATGCATTAAATGAAATAAAGGGTAATAATAAAATAACCAAATGCCAGACGGAGCCATGACTATAAGGTTTATTATTAACCATTAAAATTACCAATTATATTTTACTGCTTTAACATTGTTATTTAAAAAGTAATCACAAAATGTATCATACTGAACTTGGAAAATAGTCCAACTTAAGTTAAAGATGAATGTAGATTGGGTAAGATGCCTTGTAGTCGAGGCGCTGAGGGGGTTTGAACATGCATAAAAGTGTAACGAAATTTGACTTTTGATTGTTGCTATGGGTACCTAGTAGATGAAGAAAATCGATGTTGTCGCATTTCTAGGTGGTTAATAACATGGGGGGGAGGGGGTAAAGTTGGGGGACCGCGCGGGGGGCCGCCGCGCACAAAATAGCTTATATCTCAAGAACCAAAAGTCATATGAATACGTTAGACATGTCAAACTGTGCAGAAAAATGCATTCTACAAAGAGATTATGTAGTAGTTTCACGGAAATTGACAAGAAGTTACTAAAAATATATTTTTTAAATTTACGATAAGTATAATCAGGAGTATAATGGTTTTTGTTGTTGTTTAGAACCAATAATTTTTAATTGACAACTTTTGAGAGTAGTACACAATAGATAAATAGTATTTCTGTATAATGATACTATTGCGGTACATAACTTAACAGCTATACAATTCTCAGATCCAATAAACATAACACAAACAAAGGCGCAAAACGCGTCGCGGTCATTGTTCCTGCTGCCGTAACTATTAATGGCGAGTACATTTCAAGCTGAGACTTATATTATACTTTTAGAAAGGTGGAGATTCTGAGGATTCATTTTCATATATATAAAATAGTATTGAGCGACTATTATGTAGCGAGAAATATAGTTTGTAAAAGAAGAGAGTTCAAAATATATTTTGGTGGTTGAACGTTCCCATCACCTGACCAGGCTGCACAATTGGTGCAACAGCTGTTTCGGCGATCGCGTAAAGGTAGTGTAAACGATACGAGTAGAAAATGTTAAATACAAGCCTTGGCGAGTGCCTTAAAAACTTCTACGAGTTAACACTATTTACGCGAGTTGTGTGCATTAATTAACCTGCGACAGTATATTAATTACCAAAAACCACTACTCAAAACTTAAAAAGAGAGGTTATTTTTTCTTTACCCCTCATTGTCTCTGATAGTAATGCAACGAATCATCGCACCAATCGTTAACAATTAAATTTGCCTGAACAGCTGATTAGTTGAAGTTCGAAGCATTATAATTTTACTTCTTCTCTCTCAATCCTTGGCCCTATCTGGGTACCAGTGGTGGTCATATTTTGGCCCTTTTGTAGTGGTACCATATATTTCACCAGAGAACAGTTACATGCCCATATAAGTAGATATCTATTATATACAGTATGTTTCAGTGATAAATGTAGAATATAATAATATAAAAATATATATATTTTCAGCAATGCTTTTAGGCGTAGTAGCAAGAGGTTTGCAAATTTTTGGATTATGCAAATTAGAAATGTCTAAATCAACCGCAAAAATCTTAAAAATAATGTTTTTATCCATATTATCCAAATGTAAAGGTTGTTTAAAATATGATTCCTTACGTAGAAATATCAATGTTTTTTTTTTTTAATACGCATAAAAATAAAATTATAAAAAACTACATAACTATTTTAGTTACCAAATTTTATTTAATTGTTGTATAAGAAATAAATTTATTGCATCAACAGTAAATAAATATTATACTGCTGTAACAATTCAGTATTTTCACAAAAATTGTCTATAGAATAATTTAATTTTTACCATATGTTTTTATTTTTATCAATATGTCAATCCATCTCCCTTTACCAAACTTTGTATAATATATGGCCAAACAGACCAATAGGTAATTGATTCAATACAATATAATATAGAACATTTTCAAATAACCTTATTTCATGTAAATATATAATAGCCTATAACTTTTTGTAACAAAATTGCTTCAAATTCAATAATTTTACATAAATAACTTGTCAAAATTCAAATTTAGCTCTATAGCAAATGAAAATTGTTATAATATATGTGTGAACAGTGGCCTACAATTTTCCGTGATAAAGTCAGCATTGACATGTGTGAATGCAACAATGCATCAAACCTTCCTCACTTCCAAGAGTGCTGAGATAGTACGAAGATATAAATTGTAAACTGCATATTTTAATAAAAAAAATTCTAAAAAAGTGCATATATTTGGAATAAATTAGTGAAATTTGATTAAAGAAGATCCGTTCTTGTTACAAACATTAATAACTACACAACATCAAGAAATTTAACTGTGAAGAAGAGATCAATTTTGGTGAGATCACTCCAGCAGACCTTTTCTTTCCTTGGATGGAGGCCATTAGAACATTTTTAAGCCTAACTTTTGAACTTTTGTATAGTACCAGAATTTAAAAGTCAAGAAACTAATAGAAGCTTATTCAGAACATTAATTAATTCAACCTATCAGAAAATAATTCTAACATAATTTATATTTCAATACAAAATTTAATTAGGCTATATATAATCACAAGATTAAATTCAAACGCCACTCGATCACCCCACCTGAGATAAAGATCCATGCAATATAACCCCTCAACCTAAATTAGAACTATTGTAATAGGCCTAGCCTAAAGTTTTAATTAGTAAATTCATTTGCCACCCTTTGTAAACTTTTATTGTGAACCCTTAGTTTCTTTTCTTTTACTATCAATTTTGTATTGTAATAAAATAAATTTAAGTTTAGATACTGTACATGGAGTTTCCATTGTATTCCTAGCTTACACTGGTTACACTGCATAATTTAAGAGTAAAAGCTCTTTCTAAAAATATATAGTTAAATGTAGTTGAAATCTAAATTTCCTGACTAACGTCAGAATGTGAAATGTTAACATTTTTTACGAAAACATAATTTTTATGACCTTTTCAAAACTACACAAAATTGTTATAACCAACCTCAGATTCGGAGATATATAAATTGTAGGGAATTTATTGCAGTTTCAGATGTTGATGGAAACGTTCAACTACCAAAATATGTTTTGAACTCTCTTCTTTTACAAACTATATTTCTCGCTACATAATAGTCGCTCAATACTATTTTATATATATGAAAATGAATCCTCAGAATCTCCACCTTTCTAAAAGTATAATATAAGTCTCAGCTTGAAATGTACTCGCCATTAATAGTTACGGCAGCAGGAACAATGACCGCGACGCGTTTTGCGCCTTTGTTTGTGTTATGTTTATTGGATCTGAGAATTGTATAGCTGTTAAGTTATGTACCGCAATAGTATCATTATATAGAAATACTATTTATCTATTGTGTACTACTCTCAAAAGTTGTCAATTAAAAATTATTGGTTCTAAACAACAACAAAAACCATTATACTCCTGATTATACTTATCGTAAATTTAAAAAAATATATTTTTTAGTAACTTTTTGTCAATTTCCGTGAAACTACTACATAATCTCTTTGTAGAATGCATTTTTCTGCACAGTTTGACATGTCTAACGTATTCATATGACTTTTGGTTCTTGAGATATAAGCTATTTTGTGCGCGGCGGCCCCCCGGGCGGCCCCCCAACTTGACCCCCTCCCCCCCATGTTATTAACCACCTAGAAATGCGACAACATCGATTTTCTTCATCTACTAGGTACCCATAGCAACAATCAAAAGTCAAATTTCGTTACACTTTTATGCATGCTCAAACCCCCTCAGCGCCTGGACTATTGTGTAACTTTGTTACTGACTCCAACTAAGCTGTCTAAGCCAAGATCACTCTTTACATGCTTTTTAAAATCTGACTTTTACATTGTTGAACCAGTCTTTATCAGGCGAACAATCTTAATCACTCAGCTATTTTCACCAAACCGCAAAAAATAATTATTACCTTTTCATCAAAAGCAAGCGGTTAAGAAGATCTGGACAAGCAGACAAACTATTCTCTTTGAAATGTCTCAGGTCCACTTCAGCTTTACTTATTGAACTTTTGAATATGTCGTAGTCTTTATCAAAATCAGGCTTGCGGTGGTTCAGAGCATCGTAGGGCTTGGTAGATATTATTTGAAAGATGGTTTTGAACTTGGCCGAATGTAGTTCGATCCCTTCCAGTTTAGAGTTTTCTAGTATGGAGTACAGAAGGGCAGTTTTTAGGACATCTCTCAGCTATAGAAACAAAAAATCAAATTGTTATCAACAATTTTAATTTATAGAGTAAAAATGTTATAACACAATCAATTTTCCAAACATTTATTGTCCTCTTGAAAAAAATGCTATGAAAACACTATATTTACACACAAAATGTTTATAATACAAATATTGGTAAAAAATTATACCAATCTTTAAAAGAACTGACTAAGAAATAAGTTCTCATTCTATTTGGGCTCTATTTTACTGAATTAAAAGACCACAATTCAATTATTAATAAGTTGTGTTTTTAACAAATTCATTTGTTTTTTTAGGCTTCAGGTGTGATTATTAGACTAAACCTTGTGTCCATAAAATTTTAAATTTGAAAACCTACTTTAGTGAAAAACTTCTTCCAGTGATGTGTATGATATTTTCAGAATCACTTAAAAGACATGAGATTTAGCTACGCCTCAAAGAAATAGGCTTACTGGCTTGCCTGGGTTCAAGAAAACCAAACCTCACCTTGTACAGCCGAGTTTTAAAAGTTTTGAACTTCCCAAAAACAAACATTTCTGAAGCTTCCAAGTTTGTTTCATCTTCATCTTCTTCAATTCTGAATTTGGTTTCAAAATACACATCACGGTACCTCTTGTAAAGCCTCAGGCAAACCTATGAAATAAAATACTTAATTTTAACAGTATTTTTGTAAAAAAGCTTAATATTACGTTGAATGTGTACAAACAAATTTGCCAACAAACTTAAGTGTTGTGAGAGGTGACGCTCAAAAATACTAGCGTACAAAAAGAAAGTTAAAATGAAGTGTCTGCTAAAGTTGACAGCGTTTAAATTAAAGGATTTAAACCCTTGTTAAACCTTTATGTAATTCACAGGGGCAGTGGGTTTTGAAAGATATTATAACATAGGTAAATGCTTGAGTAAAAGTGTGAGGGAAAAAGTCTTGCTAAAATCTTCCACAATGACTCTGACGTAAGTTTCACTTGCATTACGTTGAAAGTCCATGGGACATGACAACCTAAGATGTTTAAAGAATAAATATATACTTAAATTTGCTTATTTCAAACTCCATTCAAAGTAATATGTTTACAATTACATTTCCTTCTAATCTTTTTATAACAAATGTGATTTTGTGGCTTTTTACGTACATGAGTTGGCATATATGTTTGCCTACAAACAGTATTTTTACAAGATGGTGTGTTGTGTTCGAAAAATGAGGAAAAGCTTGTTAAAAGTATCGTTGAGTTAAAAAAATAAATCTAGGGTTATCCGGCAAATACTTACACACATCTTTCTGATAACATCGCTTTTTTTCTGCTGCCAAACCGTCTTTGTGTTATTTTCAGTTAAATACAACAGACACGTATTCAACATTTGATTGGTAACCTGAAAAATTATTCTTATAAAAAATAAGCTGACCAGCTAGTATTGATTGCCAATTTTTATTTTTCCTATTCAATTAAATGTAGTTTAAATATTTGATCCAAAGGTAAAAAAACATAACGGTAGTATAAATTGTATTACAAACTTTAAGCACATGTTGATTTTTTGCTTTGTTTTTTACCTTAAACTTAGTAAAATGCATAATTGACAAACCCTGATAGGAACAGTGTGGGACTTGATCGCACTAAACTCTTACAAGCTGTGGGGGACTGGACTGGAACACTTCCACAGAACTTACGTTCAGAAACATACCCGTCATCTGGGAATCCTTTGTCTCGCTTTGCTTCCCCATCATTATCATTATCAATTGAGATGTAAACACCATCTATGTGTGTATTTTATTTTAACCCAAATATGAGTGAAGTTTGAGTGAATAATGGAGGGAGATACCTTGTGCAGCTTTGTTACTGACTAAGATCAGCTGTTTCATTAGTTCGGATCATTTATTGAAAGCCCACAAGGGCACACTGAAGCTTTAACACCACAACTGTATCAGCTTTGTCAGGTCTACTGTAAAGGCTAGCCAAGTCTTCGCCTTAAAAAAATTCATACTCAGCCATTTGGCTTTCCTTTATAATATAACCTGAACCACAGAGAAGCAAGATACAAAGGATACAAGCTTATGGGACACATGGCATATTTGTACAGCAGTTGTAGCACACAGGGTAGGGGGGAAAGGAAAGTGGAAGGGGACGACGAATAGAATTTCCTCTTGACACCAACAACTGTTGCTAGACCCCACTTTGGTGTACCATTGAATGTATTATGTTTTTTACTTCTCTGTGCCTTAACAGTTGGACAGTAATTTAACTGTTTATAGGAAAGAATTGTAGTAAAGAATATAATCAATTACTGAGGATTAGCAATGTAAAAAATCACACTTCTCCCTCACCTTGACCAACATTGTGGTGATTCGCTCAGCTGTGTTGAAGAACCTTGACATTGCGTAAGTCATGCGGATGGAGTACAACAGACTGGGTAGATACTTGGTCATCTCCTCCGGGGACATTCTATAGAGTGGCTCCAAGTATTGCTGTAGAGCGTACAGGTACTTGACATTGTCGGAAGCCTCTGCCTCACTGAACGTCACCCAGTTGTCAAAAAACTTCCATTTCTGTAGAGAAAATAAGTTGAGTTGAACTTTGTCGCTGAATAAAATATTTGACATGAATTGATTGTGAGTCCAAAATTAATAATTAATTAAAAGTATGAATAGTATCAAAAGGTAGCAGCGGATGATAAGATTTAGGATAGACACTGTGGTTCAAGTCAAACGGTCAATAGACAACACAATGGACAATTTTTATTATTATGATCTCCTAATATGAGATTTTCTGGTCACAGTGACAAACTGTAGTACCAATCAACAAACATAGTATCAATAAGTAATATTTTTTCCTCATTAGCCTATTAGTTTGGGATCAAAACCGACAATAGTGTACTCAATACATTAGTTTCCCTTTATTTATGGATTCAATGATGTTTGTGATTGAGATGTATTTCAAAGTACTTTTAAAGATAGTTATTCTTACCTTCCCCTAATGTCTTACACACTTAGTCACTCATGAGTGACAGCAACCCCAGTGGCTCCACGTAATGGCCAGTGGTATTAGTGAGTGGCTTTTCTTCTGATGATACAATTTGAAAAAGACATATACTGTCAATTAAATCTCTTTTTCTCAAATTCTAAACCTAGCCACTGGTCTGTGCCAACAAGGTTATAATTTTAGTTCTGAAGACTAACCAAATGTTTGCTTGCAGCCTTCCTGGTTACGAACCACCGAGCAAACATCTTACCTTGATCACTTTAGACTCAGCTTGCAGTAGAAAGGTGATGTAAGTTACACATTCCGGCGCCCTGCTGTGTTCCAAGATACTGGCAAACTTTGCCAAGAGTCTGCGCCAATGAACCAACTCTGCTTCTGGCGCCACATCAGGTCTCTCACTGCGCAACTGCTTACTCTGTGTTAAAACCTGCCGCAGACAGCCACAGATAAATAGGTTGTAGATTATTAACATCATAAACATAGTGCTCATTTTCAAATCACAAGGTTGCTGTTTTGATTCCAAGCGCAAGGGAGATCGTTTCAAACCCAGATATACAATTGGCTATCGATTGATGTACTATCTATTACCGGTAACAAATATTATTTCAATGTTAGGTAATAAATAACAAGAACGTAGTTTGAAGTGTTTCCTTTTTAGAAAAAACTGTGAAAAACCAATGAATTACTAAACACTATACATAACCTTATTTTTTTAAATATGGAACATCGTGATGGGAAGTGTTGTTCATTTGGATTTTACCACAGGTACCTATGCATACACTCTTTAAAACTATATTCCTCCCTAAGTACTCTCACTTAGTTTAATTGCAAAGTAATTTAAGAAAACAACCAAATTTACGACAGTTTAAAATTAAAATCAGTCATTGAAATCTATATAATTATGATATAGCTACATGAAACTTTGTCGGTTGAACTCCTCCGCCATTTCTTAACCAATTTTATCCATTGACGGCTCATTGGAAAGAGCGTGTCGAGTAGATTTGCAAACTGGCCTTACATTTTTGAAAAAAGTCCCTTGTGTTCTGCCCCAGTGGCTTTGAAAGTTCCCATGTTATCAGAAGAACATAATTGTTTACATTTTGATCAGCTGTATAATTTAATTGCTGTTATTTATTTTTCAATTCAATGAAACGCATTGAGTAAATTTGTTTACTATTTGAGTTTGTGTAAACATAACCCCCAAGACGGATCGTGTTAGTATGGTTTTATCTTAAATTTGTGTATTTATGGTTGTTTTGTGTCACTATGACGGATCGTGTTAGCATGATTCTAACTTAAATTTATGCATTTATCGTTGTTTTGTGTACCTATAATTTGTTTATTTGTTGTTTTTTCTTTTAAATGCCTCCGACGCGACGAAAACGAAACATAGACAGTGGCGCGTATTAGGCTTAACTCATCACAGTCAGCACCTGACTCTGGACAATCTCAACTATTAGGTTACAAATGCGCCCTAACACTACCCCAAAACGACTTTTCGTTCTCAATTGGCCGGTTGGGCCTCTATCAATGACCTGTGTTGCCTGTACAGCGAGGCATTTAGAGAAGGAGAAAACCAGCCGGAATGCTTTAGGTTTATCAATAACGAAGATAAACATGGTCTGAGTTACAAACCGGTAATCTTTGAGTTGACGCTTTTAAACTCATTGTAGCCTAAATATGACTGTTATTCGTTTTGAAATAACTCCTGTAATACATTGCAATTGCTCGAATTCAAGCAACATGTACGCTAGTGGACAATTTCTTTGTTTGTGGACAGTCCATGGTCCCAGGTAATCTTATCCACAATATAGGTACATTAGTGAACATTTATTTGCTTCACTCAACCAATGAAAGCTTGCTACCGATCTCTTATACAAAATTCTCTTAAAAGTTTCCAATAATGTTTAGTACACAATATTTTATTTACTAGTAAACATTTAACCTATTTTTATTAGTCTCTTTTGATATTGGACTTACCCATTATATAAAGAAAATCAGTTTATAAAATAACCCAATAAAGCATTAGAATGAAAAGTGTTTTTATAAAAGATAATGGCAGCATTAAAATGTGAATGAATGATATAGCGGCCAAAGTCCTTCATGCAAGGGACCGAGGTATTAGCTTACACGACTTGAATAAAAATATTTTTAATAAACAAGTTTCTATATTACCCATTCAATTTTTTTCATCCAAGCTCGAACAATAGTCTCAACTCGGATAATGACATTCAAATCAGTTACTTGCTTCATCAACATTTCTGGTTCTTTGAGCCTTTCAAATAGTGTCAGATCCGATTCAAACTTCACTGCTCCGTCCAAGTCAGTTTTGGTCACTGAAGGGTAAATTTTACATGAAAACAGCTTTATGAATAAGTAGTGAAATTTGAGTGTGAAACACATATGGATCTGCCCTATTATATAGTTAAACTTAATTAAGCTATAGAAATTTTCCCATCTGAAATTATTTAATGAACTCAGTTTTGTTACTAGGCCACTCTTACAGCTACAGCTTACGTTAACTGTCAGAACCATTAATCCCACATAATTAACAATTATTCAACATGGTGACAGCACAGTAGTATGAAGTTCTCAATGGGATGCAAGCAAGATTTTAAATTAGTTTTGAAAGCTACCACAAATTTATTGTAATTTTATATTCCCACCAAACTGTAGTTTACTAAGTCCAATCTTCTACTCTTTTAAAAATCAATAACAAATCTAGCTAACCAACTGGATGTGTTTTTCCTTACTTTTCAAAAAGTTGACATATCCAGAAAAATCGTTGAGGAAGTTATTCCTGTCAGCTGGTCCATTGACAGATTTGTTCATGTCGCCCCACGCAGAACTGCGGACTAACTGAGGCTGCGTGACCAAGTCATGGATGAGGAAGACAGATCCCACAATGGCTGGGTTGTCTTCATCCACTTGGAAAGCTGAGTACAGCAACTCCTAAATCACAGGTTGAATCATTAACTTTGTGTTTGTACACTGTAGTATACATCCCCTCTGCATGGACCAGCTGTAGCCAATTTCTCGTCCAAATCTAAAATAGTTTAATGAGGCGCTTACCGAGTGGGCAAAAAATTGGAACTTTTATCTTCTTGATGATTGATATGAGAAAACATATATATCCTATAGTTTACCTACCACTCTTAAATAATGGATATGATTAGTTGTGCTAATCCAGTTTGTAACTTACTTCAGCAGAACTTCTGTTCTCAGACAACCTGTACACAAGCACAGTTGTTCCAGCGAGATCAATGTCTGAGCAGTCAGACACAATTACTCGCTTCATCAGTTTATCTTTCGCTGATCCAGTAAAGAAGCGCCCACTTTCTGTAAAACATGTTACATCGTTACCAACATTTATATTGTATTCAAATTCCAATTATCTTTATTTATAGCAGGTACAAAAACAAAACGTTACAATAAATAGTGTCAAGTATTGTTGTACATAGTGTTTAACTATGTTATTCATTAATAGTAACGTTGTCAATTTTAAATCTAATTGCCTAGAGGTGCCTACTTTCAGGGCAAATGGAACTATAAAAGAAAGTGTAAAACATGATATAAATGGATGGGTTGGATTTCAATCTATTTATAATTTTAGATATCTGCAAAGTCTTGTGGCTAGAGTCACACTCTTTAGCTAGACATAATAATTTGATAGCAGCTAGAGCAATCAACTTACGAGGAGGAAAAGACATAACATTCTGAGTTTTTTCTAGAGAGGTATTTTGTCTTATTAATGAGTTTTGTTTTATATAAGCCAGCCTTATATTGTTATTCAATCTTAAATTTTTAATTTGTCATTATACCTTGAGGAGGGGGGAGTCGTTCTGCACAGTTGAATAAAATTGCTTGCGGTCCTCCGAGGGAAAAGAAGTTATCCATTATTGTCAAATGATGATCAGAATCAAGAATTCCTTCCTCAACAAAGGATGGGTCCTCAGCTAGATAAAACGCGACCATTTCAATAACAGTTCTGAAAATGCCATGAATCCTTCCTCCTCTTTCCAATCGTGCTGCCTTCATTTTGTTCTGAAATCAAAACAAACACCATTAAGCATATTGTGCCAGTCACCATTAAGATCAAATATGTATGGACGATTGACCAAGTCGGTTCAATCTAAGTGAAAAATTTTAGCAGAAACAATAATCTTGACATTAAAAGCCAAATTTCTAGCTCTCGAATCCAAGTTGCTGCTTTATCTCAGTTATGGAGTTAAGCTTTCCCATAGGGTAGTGTTCATTAAGAGAATTGGCAGAATGTATGTGTATTAACCCATAATGTATTTACATGTGGATTGTTTATTCACTCACTCACTCTACTCACTCCCATGGCCATTTATGCCCAAGGCGGGATTTGGCCGCACCAACAACTGCTTTCCATCTCTCTCGATCTTCTGCCTCTTCCACTTCTGCCCCCACTTCTCTGACGTCCTTGGAAACACTATCCCACCATCTCTTCTTGGGCCTTCCTAATGGTCGTTTCCCTTCTGGCTTTCCTATACTTGCTTCTTTTAGTAGTGAACCTCGTTCTCTCCGTAGTGCGTGTCCTGCCCACCTTATTCTCCTTGCTTTCACGTGTGCTACTACATCATAATCATTGTACATATTCCTTATCTCCCTATTATGCATTTTTCTCCATTCTCCATTTTCTTGTATTGGTCCATATATCATTCTTAAAATTTTGTTTTCAAAAACAATCATTTTGTTTTCTTCTTTTTTATTTAAAATCCAAGTTTCAGCTCCATATGTTAATACTGGTCGAATTATAATACGATATATTTTTATTTTTGTTTTATGTGAGAGAATCTTTGAAGTCAACAATTTCTTACAAGAATACATACATTTATTGGCCTGAGCAATCCTATAATTTATTTCCATTTCTTCACTATTGCTGTTTGATATAATTACCCCTAGATATTTAAATTGTTCAACAACTTCAAAAGTATGTCCATCTATACTAATTTCATTTGTCCTCACTTCATTTGGCTGTCTCGTGAAGTGTATATATTTTGTCTTCTCATCATTAATCTTTAGGCCCATTTTTTCTGATTTTTTTATGAACAGTCTGGTTAGCTCCTCTAGGTCATTTCTGTTTTTGGACAGAATTACTACATCGTCCGCAAAAGCTAGGATGTTTATTTTTGTTCCCATTTCTAAACCTATATTTGTTTGTCTTACTTGTTGGAGGGCTTCTTCTAAGGCTATGTTAAATAGTATAGGTGACATTCCATCACCTTGCCTTACGCCTGTTCTTACTTCAAAGCTTTCTGATAACTCTCCATCTATTTTTACTTTGCATTTTGATTCATTCAAGGACTTTTCTACTAGTTTTATTAGTTTTCTGGGGATCCCAAACTTTTCCATCTGCTGATATATTCTTCCCCTGTCAAGGCTATCATAGGCCTTCGAAAAATCAATGAAAAGCCCATGTACTTCTTTATTGTATTCCCAGTGCTTACTAATAAC